CTCGGGAAAATATCTCATTACTGAGAAAAAATACAAAAACACAAAAACTGCATTGTAAGAGTATACTAATATGTAAAACCTAAGAATTAGGTTTTTGGTCATCTGTACGCGGGCGGAGCCGCGGGCAATGCTAGTTTTATTATATGTATAGAAGATATATAAATATTGTGTTTGTATTTAACTCTTCAAGAATGTTATCAATGCTTTTTAGTGTTACGTACAATTACTACCCATTAAAATATTATCAGTAAGTACATTATTTTAGACCATTTTATATGTTTAAATAGGTGTTTAGTTTTGTGTATCAAAAGTGTCAACTTTTCATGTAATAAGTGATAATGCTTAGTTTGTTCTTTTATAATTTAAACTATTCAAAAACATTAATTACATGTTGCCTTGGAGTCTATAAAAAACAACCTCAGAAATCTATCAGAATTTTAATTACAGTGGCTCATATTCAAGACTTATTGGTGTACAAGATTATGTTTAAAAAAAACTCGGATGATCGATTTGAACATTGGGGAATGTGTTGTGCAAATACTACGAGCCGCGCGTGCTATAAAGTTTTCAATTTGAAGATAAATAACTAGCTACTCAACCTCGCTTCGCTCGGGTTCGTCCCGTCCCAGGGTTACTGGTTGATGATATCTGGGATAAAAACTATCGTATGTCCTTTCCACGGTCTCAAACTATCTTCTACCAAATTTCATCTAAATCGGTTCCGTAGTTCCGGAGTTTATTCGGTACAAACAAACAAACACAAAAAATCTTTCCTCTTTATAATATTATAGTATAGATATTATTGTTTATTGGGTGTGGTGCCGAGGTCGGCCCTAGCTACGTCGACCAGTTATGGTCCATTGTACGAGTAGCTGTAGTATAGATAACTAATATAAATAAATCAAATAAAAAATTTGTGCAATTACATATTTATTCATAAAGTAGTGTTTCAAATTTAGTGTAAATGTATACCGCAGTATTATCAGAAATCATTATAATAGTACAAATAGTACATTTTCAGTTAACACTGATATATTACTCGTGGCTTGCGTGTCTTCAGGCCCCTTAAAGGCCGGTAGCGCATTCGCAACTCCTCCTATGTTAGCGATGCCTATCAGCGACAAAAACCACTTACCACCAAGATCGTTTGCCCCTTCTATACTAATATTATAAAGAGAAAAGATTTATTGTTTATTTTTAAAAAATAAGCTCCGAAACTACTTAACTGATTTAGATGAAATTTGGTAAGAAGATAGTTTGAGACCCTGGAAAGGATATAGTTTTTATCCCGGAAATCATCCCTTAAGGGGGTGAAAATGGAGATAAAAGTTCGTATTGGGAAGCAACCGAGCGAAGCGAGGGTGAGTCGCTAGTTTGCTATAAAATACAGTTTATACCTATTTCCTTCACACAAAAAGGGAAAAAATATAATCAGCTTAATATTTTACGTAGAGAAAGTTTTTGAGAAGGGATTGAAATAGACTAACTTTTATACTCATATAAGTAAAAAAAGTCGAAATGTATCGTGAGATGAGTTATGTGGATACAAACAAAGTTTCTTTCGCTGTCTACCCTTGACTAATAAATTAGGTCATAAAAATTGTCATGAGTGTGTAGAGGGTCATATCAAGCAATGCACGTTATACATATTAAACCTCATCGAAAAAAGGCTTGCATAGAGTGCACATGAATTTCTTACAACATACATTACTTGATACTTAGGTATGCTCGCCTGGTACTTGTAATGACATCACAGGAGGAGCTCTTAGTAAATAATAAAAAGTGTCGTGACGGTCGAAATATTAGACTTTTTCCATCTACCTCTCATTCCACAAGTGTGCCGACTATAACGTGTGATAAGGAACTTCGTTTCAATAATTTATATTATAAATGTTAAAGTATGTTTTTTTTCTTGGTTTGATTGACCTTCTTTATCGCTGAAACAATACAACACATTCGTTGACATTGATCTAATTTTTTATATGGAGATAGTTGGAGTTTTTCTAACATTATTACCACTTGTCTTACGGTGAAGGACAACATCGTGAGGTAACCTGTATATCTGAGAGAATCTAGGAAAGTTTTCAAAAGACATGCTCAGTCCGCTTCGCAATTGACCAGCGTGGTGGAATATGGCCTGATCACCCACATATTGAAGCAAGGCCCGTGTTCAACAGAGGGACGTTAAAAAGAGCTGAATACAATACACACAAAATTAAGGCCACTGGATCATTAGTATTTTATATTTTTTTTTTATGGTATTCAGTGATAAACAAGCGGACAGCCCACCTGATGGAAAGCGGTACCTGTCGCCCATAACACTTACGGTTCATGCACTTAGGTTTTATGTTACAAAGATGCAGAACCGCAGGTGCGTTGTCACTGTGAGGACTAAGATGATATGACTCTTGCCTGTAATTGCACTGGCTACCTTATCCTTCAAACCGGAACACAACAATGTAATCATTGTTGCTTGGCGGAAGAAATAATAAGAGAGTTCAGTCAGACTCCTCAGGCTTGACAGAGTCCTACCACCGGTAAAAAAATTCTGTTACTTTCTTTTATTTCGATGTTTATCTTCTTGCTGTGCGTAAATTTTTAGTCCAAATTACTCATTTCCTATTTATAAATCGGTGTAATACGACATGTTTGCACGTGAAGCAATTGATCACGCTAAACTAAACATACGTAGACGTAATCATGACCAAAAATGTTACAATACATGTATGTGTGTTCACTCTCTTCTTAAGTTTAAATTCTTCAGTTTTGCATTAGACATAATAATTATCCATAATCCATAGTAATATTATAAATTTAACGACACGTTTGGCTCCGTTTGTAGTGACCCTACTTGCTGTGCCAGCGGTCGCGGGTTCGAATCCCGCTGGGGACACTCATTTGTGTGATGACGAATGTTTGTACTCCAGTCATGGGTGTTTATATTTATAATATGTATGTATTTAAAAGTTATATATGTGTAGTGTATCAATTATCTGGTATCAATAACACAAGCCTCGTAGCTTACCATGGAACTAGATATTGTGTACTGTGTGTTAATGTCCAAAAAACATCCATCGAAACAGAGTGACGGATTTGCGTGATGTTTTGTGTGGAGAAGTTGGAAGGCTAGAGAGTGACATAGGCCACTTTTTACCGCGAAAGTCCATCGTATTCCTACGGGAAAACACGTTATAATACAACCCCAAAATAATATTGATGACCAGAATTACTTGAAACTTGGTGTTATGCTCTTCTATACAATTAAGTAAATACGTGTTTTAGCATTTTTCAAAATTTATCCCGTAAGAGGGTAAAGTAGGGGATGATATTTTCATACATGAAACCCACCGTTTAAAATATATTTCGCCTGGAAAAAGAGTGAGGGGTCCACCACATAGATCGGGATCTTAGACTATAATTTCAATCCAACTTCATTCATATTACACATTTATTATATAAAAATATAACTATACATATACGACAATTTAAAATCTTGTTGTATAGAAATGAAATTATATTGAAATATTAAATCATTTTTTTTCATATATAACATTACTTGTAATTGTATACCAACTTGACGCAAAGTAAGTACCACAGACTATTTTAATAGACCAATTATTTGCTATCAAGAATTAGAATTCCTGCTCCCCTAAAAATAAATTAACCTATTTTAACAAAGATATATAAAGAAAGTGATAAACAGTACAATTGTTAAATCACAACAGATAGACCTCTGCCAACAACCTGAAGTTGGCTGGACACGTTCCTGTTTATCATGAAGTCAGCTGTTTGTGACGTGTTGTGTTGTTATTTGGATATTTTAGTACGTTTTTGTTGACCTTGTATCTTTAATTTTGCTCGTATTTGGCGGAACGCCATACTCAATGGCTGAAATCCTTTATATGAATACATTGCTGGTTGAGTATTGAAACGTATGACGAAAATCTTTATATAAAATGTAATGTATGCGTTGCAAAGAAAAGTTTCCGTTGTTTATATACAGCGGAACCATCGGACTTTTCGCTTAAATGCAATGGTTGTGTTCAACGCACACTGAGATTTTAAACTGATTTTTTCAAAAAAAAATACACTTAAAATGAAATTTTATTTATGTTTTTAATTTGTAGAGCTAATAAACTTTGTGGGTAGTTAAAAAAAAAACAAAATATTACTTTTCATTTGTAGTATTTTTCTTCTAACAGAGTTATTTTCTCAGACGTGCATATTAAAAACGACTAGAACAAAAAATAATATAGTAGTAACAAGTTTCAATTGTAGTCAATCTGTACTATTTAACCCAATTGTACCATTTGATGTCACAAACAGTTTCATTATAATTGCCTGAAATCTGTATACTGAAAATAAATAATAAAATATGTCAGAAATGGTATACTATTTCTACTGTGAAAAGTGAAAATTAAAACGTTTACAGTCGTTTTATACGTGGTCATTTTCGTACCTGGTTTCGTCCAGTCATTTTAGTACCACGACGACTGAGCTTCGCTCGTGGTTTTTTCGGAAACCATATAAAAATCCGTTTTCAGATAAGACACCTATATAGATAAACTTAAAAAGCTTATATATATATATATACTACTACTACTACTACAAGAATTGCTCATTTAATATTATAAAATATTAAACGCTAACTATAATAATTTATATACGAGTAGTTCTCAATCTATCTCGGGTACATATTTGTTTATAATGTACATATTATATAGGGTAACCTAAATAATATATATACAACATACTTACTTTTTACATTAATTTTCTTTTACTCGTACATAATAACTAATCCAGATGGATTACATAAGAAGTTACATAAGTGATTTTCTATTATATTTAAACGATTAATTATATTATCACATAGTTGAAAGAGCCTTAAAACGCCTTATACACTACACAACGTTTTATCAGCGCATTGTACTCCACTGGTATCGTGACTTTGAAATAATTTCAGCAGCTTTCATTCAGTCGTGTTTTAGATCGGACCAGCTATGGACAAAGACGCGCCAACCCCTTTTGAGGATGCCTTGGAGAAATCTGGTAAACTATGTTTTAACTCTACGCCTATTATCTTAGTTATATTTTATTTTTTTTCATATTTATGAGTTTTTGTGATACGATGTGTGTTTGTGGTAAGTTATTTTTTATATAAATATTGAAAGTGATATTAAAGCTTAAGAAGTATTTTTTAACATGTGTAGCAGTGTCACAGTGTTGTTAGATCTGACTTGCATTATTTTCTGAAACAAAGATCTCAAGTTTTTTTTTTGTTTACATTAAAAAAAAAATTTGCTTTAAGATAAAAGGACAGCTAATTAAATTGATTAAAACTAAGTAAAATATTGAATTTCACTAATATTAAGGAAAGTTTACGAATGTGCTAGATATTATTCTCCTTCGAGCTCTATATAGGGTCAGCCAGAACACTTGAAAATTATCTCTAATGTTAAATTTAAGTATTGTTCATAGTCAAATTAATTCAAATTAATTAAAATTTTGTTCATAATATCCTCCTAAAATGCTTAAACACATATATACTAGCTTTTCCCACAGCTCTGCTCGCGTATCCATTTATGTATATCTGTTTCGTTCCTAAATGTGATATCGTGATATTAGATAGCCTATAAACTTCCTAAAGAATTGGACTATTAAATGCAAAAAAAACCGACTGGTAGTTCCAGAGATTAACACGTTCAAAAAAAACCAATAATCTCATTAAAACAGCCACAAACAACTTTATTATATTAAGTGTAGATAATGGTAAAAATTATATATTAAAAATGTAAGGAAATAATTATACACTAACATAATATATGATATATTATGTTAATTAATGTAATTTATAATTTCAATTACAAAAAATGTATAACATAATTTTGTTTTTTTAGGACTAGCGCGTTTCCATTCCGTTTGCGAGCTGATGACGTTCAAAAATTTGTTGAATTTGAATTTAAATTGAATATGGCCGCTTTTAATAGTTTTAAAGTTTGTTGCACGCGTAAACTCTCTTCGTATTCAGCAAAAATACAAGCATAAAATATTAGTAAGTAAGGGAAGAACTCTAACGTACTCATAAATTAGTCCTATACTCGTATATGAGACTAGCATTGCCCGCGGCTCCGCCCGCAGGCTGTACAGATTAGTATACTCTTACATTGCAGTTTTTGTATTTTTTCTCAAAAAGGAGATATTTTCCTGCGGTGAAAAGTATCCTATATGTTGACCCGGATAACCAGCTATCACCACACCAAATTTCATCAAAATCCCTGCAGTGGTTTTTTTGTGATGCGGTAACAGACAGACAGACAGAAAGACAGACAGCAGAAATTCTAAAAACTATAGATTCGGCCTCTGTATTGATAATAATGTCTATTTCAATAAGATTTTCCAAAAAATATCTAATGTACAGATTCGGCTTAGTTACAATTTTATTATAGGTATAGATTATTTCTTTCTTCTTCTATCAGGACATAAAGCCGTTTTATTCTAGAGCCTAACATGTCTATAAATTATATCTATTTAAAAAATCACGTCAAAATATAAACTCCCGTAATTAAAAAAAACATCATATTTAATCAATTACAGCGTAAAGAAGCGTTAGTATGGTTTGGTTTCAAAAGCAAACAAGCAAATACAAGTACGGCCAGGGGACGTAACTAGTATTTTTTGGAAAATCTTTATTGTTTATTAAACAAAAGAACTAGTTCAATTGTCTTTGATTTATAAGTTCTTCGTATTAGGTCCATACGAATGTGATTCTTTTTATTCGACTGCGCGACGCAAAGGAGAGTTATGTGATTAATCAGTCTATGTATGTATGTATGTATGTATATTTGTTCCTATGTGGGGTTCTAAGGACCAAACGCGTGGGCCGATTTTGATGATTCATACGTCTTAAGATTCGTGTTGTTAACGCAAGTAACATATATCAAAATAGTTAAAAATTAAAATGGCGGATTTTAGGCGCCAATTTGTGTGTCTTTAAAAAAAATCATCCAAACCAATCGAGTGGGGTATCAAAATAAAGGTTTTTGAGAGGTGATTACAAAAATATATACTGCTTATATCTTTAAAAGTAATTAAGGATGAGAAATTGCTAAATATAACTTCAAATGTCTAATTGGCACAAACTAAAAACCTGTAAATAAAAAAAAAATATTTTATTAAATTAAAAATCCGACTGCATAATACTTTATTCCTTCGTCAATTTGTTTTCATCTTTTTAGTTAGCTTTTATGCAGTCGGGTTTTTCAATTTTTATTATATACTTTTTTATTTAAAATGGTTAGGTTATAGAATCCAATGTAATCCCAATCTTACAAATGCGCATTTTTTGCATAATAATATAAATATTTATTAAATATATAAAAAATATTATTATTAATTATTATATATAAAATTATTAATAATGGGTATATGTGTGTTGGTTTGTCATTCTAATACGCAGTAACGAATTGAAGAGTTGATATTTTTATCGATATTTTTGTTAATATATGAATTGCAAACCGGATAAACACCTGTACGGTAGTCTAACTTTTTATAATTTTGTCAGCTAATGAAATGGTTAAAAGCCAAATAACAAAGAATTGAATGTAATGGCTGTGATTTTAAATCTTCTCAACTGATAAAAACGAATCTTCAAACTGTTTTCGAGAAACGTACAATTAAAAAGACAGACCAACAAAATATTTTTATTCTTCTACTAGCGGCTCACCCTCGCTTCGCTTAGGTTCGCCTCTAGAAAAACAAAAACAAATCCATCCATATATTTTTCCGGGATAAAAAGTAGTCTATGTGTTATTCTGATGTATGAGCTATATTATTGTAAAGTTTCATTAAAATCCATTCAGTAGTTTTTGAGTGAAAGAGTAACAAACATTCATCCATACATACATTCTTACAAAAAACTATAGATTCGACCTCTGTATCGATAATAATGTTTCTTCCAATAAGATTTTCCAAAAAATATTCAACGCACAGATTCGGCATAGTTACAATTTTATTATATGTATAGATATAAAATATATTTTTACGGTAATCATAAGTCTTTATATATAAAACTAGTTTGTACTCGTGGCTTTGCTCGGGTGGCTTTTGTCTGATCATAGGATGTATGTATATCCTTGGCAAATTTTATCGAAATCAGTTCAGGTATTTAAGGGTGTCGGTGTGCACGTGTTTGTAGCTTGACGAATTTTTTGTGTATTTGAATAGTTTTTAGTTACCACTCCATATCATTATTTCTCCTCCATACCATTACCCACTTCTTATAATTTAAGTAATATGTACTAATATTATAACGAAAAAAATTTTTTTTTACAGATTCTAATTTCTGGGTAATTATATAAATAACAAATCTCATACGAAAAAATCCTATAGCCTTTATTATATTTATTGAACGAGACCATGATCATGATAAATAGCGCTACAATTTTATTTTATAGATACGAATGATTAAGTATGCTATTTATTTTTTATAGGAAGACTAAATCAATTTATGTTTTTTTATAGGTATACTAGCATTGCCCGCGGCTCCGCCCGCGTTCAGATGACCAAAAACCAAATTCTTAGGTCTTACATATTAGTATACTCTTACAATGCAGTTTTTGTATTTTTTTCTCAGAAATGAGACATTCCCGCGGTAAAAAGTATCCTATATGTTGACTCAGATAGCTATCACTATACCGAATTTCATCAAAATCTCTGCAGTGGTTTTTCTGTGATGCGGTAACAGACAGACTGACAGACAAAAATTCTAAAAACTATAGATTCGGGCTCGATAATGTTTATTTCAGTAAGATTTTCCAAAAATATTTAATGTACAGATTCGGCTTAGTTACAATTTTATTCTAAATAATCTATTGACCTAAAAGTGTTAACATACATAATATATTCTATAATTATATTCTAACAATATATTATTTTTTATATATACTAAGCTCTTAATTGCGAGGCAACAATAGAATCATTAATATGTTTGTTCTTACGTGGTCTTAAAGAATTGCGAACACTTGTATATATATCAAATTACATCGTCGTTTAACTGGAGTGAGTACATCTACAAAAATCCATACTAATGTTATAAATGCAAAAGTAACTGTCTGTGTGTCTGTTTTTACGGACAAACTGCTAAACCATTTTTAAAGAATTTAGGTATAGCGATAGATGGGACTTTGGAAAAGGACATAGGTTACTTTTTGTCGTGAAAATAAAATTTAAAGGGGGTGAAGTAGGAGTTGAATGACCCCCCCCCCCCACTCGCGTTCACCTTGTTGTGGGGGAGGGGGGGGATCAGTGGTAGCCGGGCGAAAGCTAAGAAACGCACAGGGAGGTGGCCCACTTCGGTGGGCGGTGTACCATGCGGGTTGCTCCTGGTACTTCTCGTATAGCAGAGTGGACTGTGGAGCAACCCCATGGTTATTGTGGTCTGCTTCGGCAGACCTGCCGTCGGGGAGTTATAGTTGAGTGCGTAAGCGATCCTGTGACACCCCATTTAGACGGGGGAAGTTCATGTTGGGTTTTAGTAGGTAGTACTGGCCTTTCTAACCAGTGAGTCCCACATAACCACCTGTATGTCTACAGGTGATATGCGTAAATACATTTCGCAAGATTAAAAAAAAGGGGGTTGAAAGTTTGTATGGGGGGATTAACTACCTCTTTTTTTAGAATTGAACTACTCAATTTCATGATCTAATTGTAACTGAAAATAAATTATTAAACAAAAAAAAATATACAGACGAACATAGAGCTCCCCTTTTTTGAAAGTTGGTTAAAACAGCCACACAAAGGCTACGAAATCATTATCTAGGGAAAATTGTATAATATATGTTTTTATATATATATATTTTTAATTTTTTGCGATACTTTGAGAATGCTCGTGATGCAATAGATTTTTTTATATTTTTCAGGAACTAATTTCTACCATATCTATATACTATATGAACAATTAAAAATCGGAAATCAACCTAATTTAAAGTCTTTAATTTTTTTAATTTAATTTCTTTAATATCTTAAACAGGATGCAGGAGCGTTACTGTTTATCTATAATATAAAAATGAATCGCTGAATGTGTTGGTAAGCGCAAGTCTCGAGAGCAGCTGAACCGATTTCGCTAATTCTATTTTTAGAATATTCCTTGAAGTACGAGGATGGTTCCAACGGAGAGAAAAATTTAAAAAATTGCCTGAAAAAGTCTAGAAACAACACTTTTCTATACTCCCATACAAAAGATTCGTAATAATACTTAAAAGTCAATTTGAATTTTAATACATACCATAAAGTTTAAGTGTTAGTGGAGAGGTTCCGGGAAAGCAAAACAATTGAGTGACGTTAGTTTCGTATAAATATTAATGTCAATATTTGTCACTATTATTAACAAAAAAAAATTAAAATTTACATGGCTAACACTGGCTAATAACTATTTATATCTATTTAAAACGTACCTAGGGACGAACTCGAGCGAAGCGAGGGTGAGCCACTAGTAGTTCATAATAATTCATAATAACACTAAAACAAAAAAAAGAGCTTAAAAAAGGCACAGATAATGTATTTGAATGTATTTGATGGTGTGCTACTTAATAATAAAATAATATAAGTAGTAAAAAAGTATTTTTTTATTAAAATAATAAAACAGATTTAAAGCGACATTGTAATAAAATACTAAATATGTTATGTTTTTATATTTATTTCTATACTAGCATTGCCCGCGGCTCTGCCCGATTTCAGATGACCAAAAACCAAATTCTTAGGTTTTACATATAAGTTTTTACATTGCAGTTTTTGTATTTTTTTTTCTAAGAAATGAAATATTTTCCCGCGGTAAAAAGTATCCTATATGTTGACCCGGATAACCAGCTATCACAAAACCAAATTTCATCAAAATCCCCCCAGTGGTTTTCTCGTGATGCGGTAACAGACAGACAGACAGACAGACTGACAAAAATTCTAAAAACTATTGATTCGGCCTCTGTATCGATAATAATGTCTATTGCAATAAGATTTTCGAAAAAATATTTAATGTACAGATTCGACTTAGAATTTTATTCTATGTATAGATGACTCACGCCTTGAGAAAATTATTTACATTTTGCAACGATAATATATTTACCATCTTTATATTTATTATATATATTTTATATTATTTTCTTATATTTATCACATTACATACAGTATACTATGCATATAACTTTATTTTTCTTAGTAGGAATACTGACGCATGTCATCTATACATATAATAAAATTGTAACTGAGTCGAATCTGTACATTAAATATTTTTTGGAAAAATCTAATTGAAATAGTTACTAATATGTATTATAAAGAGGTAAAGTTGGCGAGTTTGTGAGGTAATCTCTGGATCTACTGAACCGATTTAAATGAAATTTGATAAGAAAATAGTTTAAGACCTTGGAAAGGACATATAATACATGCATTCCCGGAAATCATCCATTAAAGGGGTTATGTCCATTATATGTTGATTGTCATAACTAAGTACTTTTTAACTGAAAAAGAAGACCAATTAAAAAATATTTTAATGTAGATACTTATTTCATCCATGAAAGTAGTTTTTCTTTTCAACCGACTTCAAAAGGAGGAGGTTCTCAATTCGACTGTATCTTTTTTTTTATGTTTGTTACCTCAGAACTCCGTCATTTATTAACCGATTTGGACAATTTTTATGTTGTTTGAAAGTGTATACTGCCAGATTGGTCCCATTTAAATTTCAAAAAAACAATACCACCCCTAAGGGTGGAAAAATAGCTAATGATGAATTTAACATACTTCTAATTGTCATATTAACTTTAAATTTGCAAGTGTTTCTATTTCCGTTGATAGTACAGTGGTTCAGTATTGTTGACCTGATCTGATGGTAAGGCCAGAAGGTGGATAGGTGGAACTCTTCAACGGCTAATAGTAGATACTTTGAGTTTGGGCTTATTTTGTTTGATTTGACAAGCCTAACACGTTGGAATTCTTACTTTGCTACTACTGTCTACACTAAAAAGGGAAAAATAAAAACTTTTTAACAAAAAAATAAAAACCGACTTCAAACAAAAGCACTAAAAAAGTAAAAAATAACTGATTGGTAGTTTTCATTTACTAAACATACCTTATCAAATATTTTCGAAGTCGGTGTGCTTTGGCTAAGTAATTAAAGCCTACCTATTAAACACATACCTAATCAAATATTTTCGAAATCGGTGCCAGCCCATACAAAGCAAAGCACACCGACTTCAAAAATATTTGATTAGGTATGTATAGTAAATGAAAACTACCAATCAGTTATTTTTTACTTTTTAGTGCTTTTGTTTGAAGTCGGTTTTTATTTTTTTGTTAAAAAGTTTTTATACACCAATAAAATAAGTTAAGAACTGGCAAAACTTGATTTGGCAAAAAGATGGATTATAGAACTTTATATTACACCGATTTACACCGAAGTTTTCTCTGGTTCCGGTGGAACTAGTGGTTTTTGGTATATACTAGTCGTTTTTAAATTTATAAGAAATCACCTTTGAGATATCATCTATTCATAAGTAATTTTTATTAAAATCTTTCCATTGGCGTAGGTATCGCATGAGATTAATAAAAAATATAGTCGAATCGAATACTTCATTTTCAAAGTGGGTCAAAAAGATGTACCTAAATCAATATAATGAAGTTGTTGTACCTAGTCATACCTTGTTCCCTGCTTTCTAATCAAAATGGACGGTAATAAAATCAAAATAAGGCTTTCTTATTAAAATAATAGTATAAAGTACCTACAAATTACATACATACGTAATTTTTAATCTTGCTTTCTAATAATAATTTATTTATTTTTATTTCCAGGCAATGGTCTCTATAACATTCTATTGGTTCTCACTTGCGGACTGATATTACTGGCGATTGGCGTGGATTTATTCGGCTTCGGTTTGGTAGTTGTAGTGGCTTGCGACTTGAATATCACAGTGGCACAAAAAGGAATTCTTACTTCACTCCCATATATAGGTAATATTAAGTAATATTTTGGTCCACAAATTTAAGGTTGCTCAGCGTGCTATGGAGAGGCCTATGCTCGGAGTTTCTCTGAAGGATCGGATTCGAAATGAAGAGATCCGACAGAGAACCAGAGTTATCGACATAGCCCAAAGAATTAGCAAGTTGAAATGGCAGTGGGCTGGTCACATATGTCGCAGAACCGATGACTGTTGGAGTAGACGGGTTCTAGAGTGGAGACCACGGCTCGGCAAACGTAGTGTAGGACGCCCTCCAGCTAGGTGGAGCGACGACATACGTAAACTGGCTGGCAGCGGTTGGATGCGTAGAGCTGAAGATCGAGCTCAGTGGCGTGCCATAGGAGAGGCCTATGACCAGCAGTGGACGAAAGCAGGCTGAACATGATGATGATGAAGTATAATATAAATAAATATATTTGGACATTAACAAACGGAGCTACGAGGCTTGTGTTATGGATACCAGACAATTGATACACTACACATATATAACATTAAATAAATACATATTATAAATATAAACAATAAACATCCATAACTGGAGTACAAATATTCGTGCTCATCGCACAAATGAATGCCCCCAGCGGGACTAAAACCTGCGATCGTTGTTACAACAAATAGGGTCACTACTGAGCCAAACGTGTCTTCGATTGAATGATAATTATAAGTGCAATTTTTATTTATATTTTTATGTTTGTCTTCTTCACGCTAAAAGGACTGGCACTCACGTCAGAATCGTCCGTAGGAGCCTAGCATGCGAGCCATAGCCTGTGTTCCTTCATGTCAGTCTATCTGTGTACAAAATTCCATCCAAATCCGTCCAGCCATTTGAACGTGAAGGCAAACAGTAAAAGGCGCCTAGAGATGGTCACTAGAAAAGATATAAAACAAGAAGCACTTTCATAATTATAGTATATACTAGCGACACCCTCGCTCCGTTCGTAATCGTCCCTCCCTACATCTTATCGTTTAGTATAGATTTCTCAGATATAAGATATTTTCCCTCAGTAAAAAGTATCCTATATGTTGACCCGGATAACCTGCTATTATCATACCAAATTTCATCAAAATCCCTCCAGTGGGTTTTCCGTGATGCGGTCACAGACAGTCAGACAGGTAAAAATTCTAAAACCTCTGTATCGATAATAATGACTATTTCAATAAGATTTCCCAAAAAATATTTAATGTACAGATTCAACTCAGTTCGAATTTTATTACCTATATGTATAGATAATTATTATCATTTCTTTAGGTATTTTACTGGTGTCGTACTTCTGGGGATACATTTCCGATACGAGAGGGCGTAAATTCTCTCTGATCATATCAGTGCAGGTTGCCTTCGTCCTGTCATGCCTCGCCAGTGTCGCTACCAACTGGCTGTTCCTGGCGCTTATAAAATTCGTATCTGTGTGCTTGTAAGTATCCGTTTAATATAATTAGTTTATATGTACCCGATTATATTTAAAAATAATTAAAGCTGTTCGAGCTGATTGGTATTAAGTCGGAAAAATATTCACCTAATCTCAATTAATATCACCAAAGGAGTCTAAATTGAAAGAAAAACAGCTCACGTAAGTATTGGATGCCCCTTTTCAACGAGTTTTGCGCCGCCCTAGCAACCTGCTGCCCTAAAACATGGATCCCACCGAAGTAGAGTAAATATATCACTGTAGAAAAAACGATAATTAATGAGATTATACGTTTAGTACAATATTTATTTGACTGTCAATTTAAATTGCTTGTATTCTACGTACGTTTTAAGTGTTTCGATTCAGAGCAGCCTTGTAGAAGGATGTCGAGGTAAGGTAATAGCTATCAGTATTATTATACTATATATATATTATATATATAAAATTAAAGAAATGATTATAATATAATGATATTACATACATATTTCTTCAAGCTAGTGTTCGCTCAGTGGTGAACATTCGACGATAATCGTTATTAAAAATTTGAGTGAAATTTTGAAATTATTTCGAAAATTTGAATGGAATTATTTATATATATATTCGGCTTGGTTATAATTTTATTATATGCATAGATTTTCTTTACTAGGAAGGATAATTTTTTCTGCAAATTTGTACTTTAAAAACACGACGGCAAATAATTTTCAATCTATGTAGATTCGTATAAGCTATAAATAGAGTCGGTCAGTCACTCGAGCGCCCATACGATTTCTTCTACACGTGGTGTGTTCTTGGCAATAATATCTGTTAATTGTTATGGGTATCATTACACTGTTTCAAATTAATAATGAAGTTCAACGAATATGGGTCAAATTAATAAATTCTTGCAAAACTAGATGAGTATTTCTTTAAATATCATCACATTTGACAACACGTTTGGCTCAGTTTGTAGTGACCCTACTTGCTGTGCTAGCGGTCGTGGATTTGAACCCCGCTGGGGGCATTCATTTGTGTAATGAGCACGAATGTTTGTTCTCCAGTTATGGGTTTTTATATTTATAATATGTATGTAATTAAAGTTATATAAATGTGTAGTGTATCAACTATCTGGTATCCATAACACAAGCCTCGTAGCTTACCATGGAACTAGATGGTGTTGTTCGTTAAAGTCCCAACATATTTATTTATATTTATTTCTTTATTTAAAGATCTCGATTCATATTCAATTGTTTGTTAGTTGTACGTATTTTTTTCCAGTTCATGTGCTGCAAACTCAGCAACTTACACCTTGGTAGGAGAGTCTTGCCCTCAACTAGTGAGAAGGAAATATATGCTACTTATGACATGTTTACTCATATTGTCACCGGCGGTCGGTGCGCGTAAGTGTCAAAGCTTAAGTTTTTAAATTCAACTCTTAAACTTATCTCACCCTGTGATTTTTCGATGTTAGAGAAATAGAAATAACTGTATGATTTTTTTTAATGATTAAATTACATATTCTTTTATAAGTACGAAAAGCTTTTTTCGTAGTTCCGCTTGTACAATTTATTTGCGCGTGTGTGTGTGTATGTGTGTGTGTGTGAGAGCCTACGTATTCGCATGCGTCTGGTAATTTCAGCGTTTAGACATACATAGAAACCAACAATCTTTTCAACTTTGGTAGCATAAACTATTTGGTTTAATAAGTTTAAACCTTTTTAAAAAGCTTTAATAATATTCGTATCTTATAATATTTATAATTTTAATCATTTTGAATTGTAAAAAGGAATATTTTTATTTAAATTGCAGTACTGACATACCCAGTCCTGCTGCATAATTTTAAGATACCAATTCCCTTGCTGGACATCAACTTCACCCCCTGGCGCCTGCTCATCATCATACTGACTATACCCCTGGGCATTGGTGGTATTGCGATATGTTTCTTCCATGAATCACCTAAATTTTTGGCAAACGCTGGACGGAATGAAGAAGCTCTGAAAGTGCTTGAGTCAATCCATGCTATTAATAATCGGAATTCTATAGAGTCTTTACAGGCATGTTATTTTTTTAACTTAAATTCGTATTGAAATTATCATTACTAATATCATAAATGTTAAAGTTTGTGAGGATGGATGGGAGTTTGTTACTCTTTCACGCCAAAATGGCTGAACGGATCTGGATGACATTTGGCACAGAGATAGATTTTTGTCTAGAATAGCACATACATAAGCTACTTTTTATCCAAGAAAAATGTACAGTTCTCGTGGGAAATTTGTTTTTTGTCTAGGGAAGAACCTGAAGCGAAGCGACGGTGAGTCGCTAGTAAGTTATAACATTAGAATGTCATATGGATATTAATATCATTCTTATCAATTTTCTTTTGATTTCTGTTGTACACGCAATGTTTTATATTAAAATAACATGTACTAGTTAAAGCCGCCAATAGCATAAATATTTTATATTATATTCTTATTATTATTAAGGATCTAAAGAACTAAATGAAATAATCTGTAGGTATATATAAAAAAATCGGTGTGCATTTGTTCGTAATTTTTCACCTCCCAAACAGCGTGACCGATTTTGATGATATTTTTTGTGTAGTTATGTGGAAAATGACAACATGTTTGGCTCAGTTTCTTTGCTCAATATTTGCTGTGCCAGCGGTCACGGGTTCGAGTCCCGCTGTGGGCATTCATTTGTGTGATGGGCACGAATGTTTGTATTCCAGTCGTAGGAGTTTATATTTATAATGTGTATGTATTTAAAATTATATATGTGTAGTGTATCGATTATCTGGTATCCATAACACAAGCCTCGTAGCTTCTCCCATGAAACTAGATGGTGATGAGTGTTAATGTCGCAATATTATATTTACTTAAATGACACAATAATGAACTGTTTCTCAATCTTCCAGGTTACCTCATTATACTTAGAAGATGCGATATCACAGAAACAAAAGTCACTATTCCAAGCACTATACGAGCAGAGTGCGCCGCTGTTCAGACCGCCCATGTTGTGGACTACGTTACAGCTGTACTTCATTGTAGCTGTAGTATATATCACGTGAGAATATTATACTAAAACTGACGATACAAAAAACTTGACGACACGTTTGGCTCAGTTTGTAGTGACCCTACTTGCTGTGCCAACGGTCCCAGGTTCGAGTCCCACAAACAACACAAATTGTTTGATGAGCACGAACGTTTGTACTCCTGTTTTAGTGGGTACATGGGTGTTTATATTTATAATATGTATGTATTTAAAGTTATATATTTGTGTAATGTATCAACTAGTATCTATGACGGGTATCCATAACACAAGCCTCGTAGTGCCTCGTAACCTTTTTTTTTTTTTTTTTTAACGTTGGGAAATGCATTTACGCACGACGTGTGGGACTCACCGGCGTAATACAGCCAGTACTACCCACTAAAACCCAACAAAACCTTCCCCCGTCTTAATGGGGCGTCGCAGGATCGCTTACGCATTCAACTACGACGCCCCGACGGCAGGTCTGCCAAAGCAGACCACCACAACCATGGGGTTGCTCCAAGGTCCACTCTGCTATCAGAGAAGTACCAGGAGCAACCCGCGAGGTACACCGCCCCCCGAAGTGGGCAACCTCCCTGTGCGTTTCTTAGCTTCGCTACTACTACTGAGCCCCCCCACGACAAGGTGAACGCACGTTGGGGGGGAGTGCCTCGTAGCCTGTGTTAATGTCCCAACATAAAAAAAATGTGTGTGTACTTATGTACGCACGTAAGAAGTTATACTTCTTTGGCGCAATAGCAAAATTAGCTAAAGATTTCATCCCGTTTGTCACAATTCTCTGTTTGTTAAAGGAATGCAGCTAATTTCATCATGTTGCTTTTTGGCTGTCGACGTGCGCGAGCATCGTAAAAATTGTACTCTCATTTTTTTTCCAAACGTGCTAAAAGAAGTATAACTTCAGAAAATAATAAAATAAATAAATTAAATTAAATTTATTGAGAATTGTACGTAAAACTGAATCAGTAAAGTCTACCAACCCGCACTTGGCCAGTGAGGTTTAGAGGCCTGCGGCCAGCAATGAGAAGATAAAAATGGCTGATGTATTCAGCATTTATAATCAGTGAAGCTAAACTTTTAAATACCTAATTATTTTTTTTCGAGAAGAGCAGTTCAGTCGACTTTCACAGCTCACTTTTAAAACTAATTTAGTATGAGGTTTTCTTATCAGGTTAAATTAATTTTACTGTATTTATAGGAACAATAGTCTTCTCATATGGCTGCCTTATATCCTAAACTTGGTGATAGCGAATCTCAATAAAAACTCAACAATCACAGGCGATATTTGTACCCTACTGTCTGCGGGACACGATTCTGTAGAAACTTCAACTAACGCTACAAGTACAGTAAGTATTTTGGTACCTAGTTCATTTTTTAAGAATCATCGCTTTTAACCTTTCTCTCTAAATTTTATCTTTAAGTATTTTCTATCTATTACCCTGCCCTTATAATATTTATTTTCATAGTACACGTACAAGTATTATATAAAATGGTAGTTCGCGAATATCCTTTTTTATTCAATCCTTTTTAACATCCCCGTGCTGATCATGGGCCTCCTTTCAATACGAGGGGGATCAGGCCATAGTCCACCACGCTGGCTGAGTACAGTTTGGCGAACTTCACATGTCTTTTCGGAACTTGCTAGGTTCACTCAGACATACAGGTTTCCTTACGATGTTTCCTTTACCGTAAGACAAGTGGTTATCATGTTGGAAATTATTCGCACATGAAAATATCAGATGTTCGAAACCCGATATTTGAACCAGCATCACTCGGCTTCCCAAGCGATCGCGTTACCACTGGGCTACCTCTGCCTAGTTATCTTTTTCTTTTATTATAATTTAAACGTATTTTTATTTATATTACAGACGTCAGAAATCTGCCTCGGCTATATAGAAAACAATGTAATCATCACACTCGTTGCTGCTCAGAGTATTTACTCCTTTTTAAACTTTGTTATATCCTATTTCATGAAGTGGAGACGAATTGTACTGCTATTTATTCTGAGCACTTCAACATTAAGTGGTATATTGTTAGGGTGGATGCCAGAGCCAGTATCTAGTGTGTTTTTGTTTATGGTTTTCACTTGTACTAATCTCGGTATGGGTATATTGGCTTCATACTTCGTGGACTTGTACCCTACGTCTTGTAGGTGAGTGGTGAAATTATAAAACAAATTATATTTATATAATAAACTGTCAAGGTTTTAACCGATATCAAAACTAGGAGGTTCTGTAACAAAACCCTTTATAGTTCCATGAACCTGAACCAATCCAACAAATAAAAAATTATGTAGTAGTTGCAATGTACTTTTTTTTCTTCCACTATTATTAACTGATACAATTTAAAAGTAATCTATTTTATAGAGAGTGTCAGATAATTTTAATTCATAATTTTATTCTATTACACCAATTTTAGTTCGCTACTCACATGATAAGCTGGGTATAAAATCTTGATAAATCCATACCCATAATACATTCTAAGCCTGCAAAATTTCATCAAAATCTGTTGAGCGGTTCAAGCATGAAAATATAATAGAATAGACAGATTTATTTTGCACATTTATAATATTAGTATAGATTTATATTTGAAGAACTTGTTTTTTGTTTCCAGAGGAATGGTACAATGTCTGAGTATAATGGTAGGCCGAACGAGTACTTTCATAGGAATCAACATTGTGGGCAATCTCATATTCTTCCACTGCCATACTACGTTTTACATATGGTCGCTGCTTGTATTTAGTGAGTATTAACAGCACTTTTGTATATATCACTAAAAATTTTCAATACGTTTAAGCAAGTTAAACTTCATTTCCAAATTCAACTCTAATGAGCCTTTAACTCTCTTTTTGTAAGCAAACTTACATTCCAAAAATGACTTTTTTGTCTAGTATTTATATTTAGTAAACATTAGCAAACAATATTATAAAGCCAAGGTGAGTATGTGTTTGTTATTTCTAACAACTTCAACAGCTCAATGCATTTAAATGAAATTCTAAATTCAGTAGCTTCAATCCTCTATTAACACGTAAAGGTTTTTTTTAATATAGCCACCACACGAGCAGAGTTCCATGCAAAAACTAGTTGTAAAATATAACGTAATATATCTGACCAATTCCATCAATGTCACAGAGACCAACCATCGTCGTACGAGATGTTATACTTAGTACCAATGTATGCGCAAGCACTATTTTAATCTTTCTCTCAGTCATAAAAGTTTAGTACGAGTCTAATCTAGCTCGTCCCTACACCAAGATATTGCTAAATATAGCTTTAAGAAAGTAACAACGACGTTGTATGATATAATATTTTTGGCATATTTTCAAATATATATTTTTAGTTTACCTACTGCTTGCACTTCAGTTAATATACTAGTGAGTGATGATTTACTCTCGCTTCACTCAGATTCGTCCCTAGGTGCCTTTTATATTTATAATATTAAAATAACATTATAGATAAGTAGCCCATCTGTTGGAAAATTTCGTTACTAACAGTAGCCTATTTGGTAGTCTAGGACCTAGGTTATATCGGTGGGCTGAGTACCATGCGGGTTGCTCCTGATACTTCTCTGTTGCATTGTTGGTTGCATGGTCTGCTTCGGCAGGCCTGCCAATGCGTCGTGGTTGAGTGACGGTGACGGGGGTGGTTTCGTTGGATTTTAGTGGATAGTATTGGCTCTTATAGCCAGTCAGTTCCACATAAATACCTGTACGTGTATAGGTTTTGTGCGTAAATAGATTTCCCACCATCAAAAAAACAAAGGTAATATATATGTGTAATAAATTTCATCCGAATCCGTTCGCGGTTTTAGCGTAAGGAATAACAAACACATCTATACAAACTTTCGCAGATATAATAGTAATTTGTGACTCGACCTCGGATCGCTTCGGATTCGTCCCTAGTGAAAAACAAAAACTAATCTACCTCACTGGAACCGTACATTTTTCTGGGATAAAAAGTAACCTATGTACTATTCCAGACTATAATCTATCTCTATGCCAAATTTCATTCGGATGCGTTCAGCCGTTCTAGCGTGAAATTAATATTATTAATATTATAAATGTCAAAGTTTGTGAGTACGTATGGATGTTTGTTACCCTTTCACGCCAGAACGTCTGAACGGATCTGGATGAAATTTGGCACAGAGATAGATTAACCTATAATTTACTATATATAGAATACTATTTATAATATTAGTATGGATGTAATTTTGTTCAGCTATTATGTTAAAAATTCTAAGTATTTCTTATTATTTTTCAGGTAGTGTAACGGCGGCATGGTTCTTACCAAAAGACCGGCTATCTCAAAGCTGAATAAATATAACTATTAATTAAAAAGCTATATTATCTGTGATTTTAGACTATTATAGCTTAAGGATATAGCTTTATATAGATATAAATAAATAAATTGTATTTTAACTAAATTGTAAAATATGTATCGTAAAAAATAATTATCTTCACTCTTAGTGCACAGATATATATATATATATATTTCATTTTCTCTTTTCTCATTCTCAGGCAGAATGTGCAGGATACATTATTATTTGAATAAAGGCATATTATACGAGTATTTGTTCGCTTAAAGAATACAGATTCTCCCACAGTATTCATTCTGACAGTTCAGTCTGGTTTTGTAAAGGGTTTTTTAAAGGTTTTATATTAATTCTAGATATTTTTTTTAGTACTTTTCGCTCCCATATAATGATTTTTGAGCCTGAATTATTGAGTATATGTAAAAAAATATGTACATACCTAATATGTACATGGTAGTAGACTCATGTCGTTCGGTAAAAATTGTAATAATTTAATGCTAAATAATATATTTTGAATTTGAATTTGACATCACGGGTTTAAAAATTAAATGTATAGAATCATAAAATAACTTTTTTTATATTCATTTAAACATTGTTGATTAAACATTTAAATAGATAAATTAATCTAAAAATATAGTCTATAAAACATTTTACTTCATAACTTACACTATAAAATATTCTAAAGATATGTAATTTAGTACTGTACGAGATCGTTACTCGAATTTCATATAAAAATAAAAACTAGAACATAATATAATTATTTTAATAAAAATGATTTAAAATAGCGCTTCTACTTTACTATCTGTACAGATAAATAAAATTAAAGTGTTTGTAATGTCAAAATAATAGCTTTTTACTAAATGCATATGAAATTATACCACGGTACTTATTACAAAAAACACAATTATAAAAAAATTGTTTGTCTGTCTTTAGTTCCGGCTAATCTCCTAAACGGCTAGACTGATTTTGACGGGACTTTCATTAGCATATAGCTGATGTTATAAAGAATAACTTAGGCTCCTTTAATTTTAGAAAAAGAATTAGAGTTCCGCTCAAAAAAATTAAAACTTCTTAGAGACGCACTCCAGCGAAGCAAAGGTATGTCGCTAGTTTACTATTAATTATGTTTATTTCGTATATGTATATGTTCTAGCTTTTATAAGTAATAACTATATAATTATACATTTACATTATATTTTTTGAAAATTATACATTTTTTTTTAACAATCGATTTAAATGTTTACAACACTAATTAGTAATTAGAACTAAGCCATTTCTGATATCGAGTATCGATAATGCTATACCCAATTTAATAAGGCTTGTATATTAAAACGAATAAAACTTCTTCTCGGCATTACAATTTTATACATTTTTCAAACTAATTTCCCGATTCAATTTTAACTGAGGCTGACTTACATACATATACATTATATACTAAACTAGCGACTCACTTCGTACCTAGTTACGTTTTAAGGCTTAGTATCGATTTCTCAGAGATGAGATATTTTCTAGCTGTAAAAAGTATCCTATATGTTGACCCGGATAACCAGTTATTATCATACCAAACATCAAAATCCCTCCAGTGCTTTTTCCGTGATGCAGTCACAGACAGACAGACAAAAATTCTAAGAACTATAGATTCGACCTCTGTATCGATAAAAATGTCTATTTCAATAAGATTTTCCAAAAAATATTTAATGTACAGATTCGGCTTAGTTACAATTTTATTATATGTATAGATTACAGACACAATACGTTAAAAAGTAAGTTTTATTCGATTAATAATTGTGACATTAAATTGTATTTAATATTTAAATATATTTAAAGTATAGAATATGATTTTATAATTCACAGTGCTCAAAAAAACATTAACATAATTAATGAAACCGAACACGTCTCACGTAACACAAAATGGCACATCAAAAAAATATTTTTATTCCATTTCAGACGTTTTAACACGTTACGAGCGTTTTAACGCTTTTTAAATCACATACATACATACATGAAATGCTTCATATATATGCTATAAAACATATGTATACGTAGAAGTATAAACACTAAACAGTACAATTAGTAAATTATTGGAAAACGCCTGGGGAAAAAACTTAGCATTGCTTCTTGCCTCATACAATGTACTAAATAAAAGTAGACATAAAACAAAGATGTAAATTAAACTTTAGAAAATTCTATACTAATTTTGTCTCTGATCATAAGACAAATAATACTTATAGATAGTAGTTATGTATTTAAATGAAAAAATATGACATTTTTAGCAGCTTTAAGCTTATAAAATAATTAAAACAAATACTTTATTTAGGAGTTCACATCTTTTCAGTCAATTACAAGGCACGTTTACTGTTTACACCGATAATCAAACTTTAATCATCGGATAAAAAATTTCCACTAGTATATATTAATTTTATTATATGTATAAATATGTTGTATAATATGCTATAGGTATGTGTACCTATTAATATTTTAATTACAGTCTGACTGATTATAAATTTAAAAAAAGGTTTGTATAATTAAGTCTTTTATATATATACTACATTTATTGTACGTACTTATAGTTTGGCGGCACTTTTTCTGCAAATGAAAATTCTATTTAACAAAAAGAGACATTTTTTAAAGATAAGTGCACCATTATACACATCATGTCCTTTGGATATTTTGTAATATTTATTTTAAGTGCAATAAATAATATTATTATAACTGTAACTTTCATTTTTAAGATGTTAATATCTTTAATTGCCTCGGTGGTGTAGTGGCTAGCATGTACGACTGCACACCCACCCGGAGGTCCTGGGTTCAAGTCTCGGGTCGGGCCAAGTTTAGTTATTGAGTCTTTCTGTATAGTAGGCCTCAGTAACAGCCCGGAGTTGGGAAGTTGGCGGTGTTTCACACCCGTGCCTCGGAGAGCACGTAAAGCCGTCGGTCCTGCGCCTTAACTCTCACCGGTCGTGTCGAGTGGTCGTCCCACCGGAGTATGAGAGTGACAGGAATAGAGTGCACTTGTGTCTGCGCGTACACTTGTGCACTATAATATCTCCTACGCAGTTAGCTAGTCTCAATGAGATTGGCCGCCGTGGCCGATATCGGTCAGGAGAACATTATTATTATCTTTAATGTACTACTCGTGATTTTTTTTAATTTTATTCTTATCTGACCATCGATCAAAAAAGTACTTTTTGATCGATATATTTGACCATTATATCAGTATATAGTCTTATGTATTATTTATTTAATACAATCATTTTCTTCACATTCTATAATGTACTCGAATTATATTATTATTATTTAGCTTTGTTAAAGTTTTAGCTAATTATATATTACTCTAATAGTTTTTTTGCTGCTTGCCCTTAGCCTATTCAACTAAGCTAGTAATAAAACATATTTTGCTCATATTATAACTATGCTTCTGTGAACCTAAACTTGCCAGACATTCGCGAGGTGAGATTATGGTCGCACGTTATATACTCTTGGAGCTTTGATATTTTAAATAAAACTATCTTTTTGGATATTTTCGATGATTTATTTTGTCTTTTGGTTCCCAACGTTTTGAATGTTTTACAACAATCATGGTCACGGGAGAGACTAAGGTTTTAAACGTCTCAAAGGCCATTTTATTATAATTCGTATAGATAGTGGGCACCTACACAATTACAAAATGAATTAAAAAATAAAATATAGCAATAAAGTACCTTACAATAAATATTTGTTAATTTAAATTTTAAACATTTTTTATAATTTCTATAAGTTTTATAATTGTATATGGAATGTAAAATAAATCCGCCAAGAAATCCGAAAAGGTAGTTTTATTTAAAATGTCAAATATTCGTGTAAATCTAAGAAAGTATTGCTATTTTGATTTTAATATAACTCCTCCCTAATAAACTCCAGCCTTTGCAACGTACTTGATAACGATTTCTTTTTAACCCCCGACGCAAAAAGAGGGGTGTTATAGGTTTGACATCGATGTCTATCTGTCTGTGTGTGTGTGTGTGTGTGTGTGTGTGTGTGTGTGTGTGTGTGTGTGTGTGTGTGTGTGTGTGTGTGTGTGTGTGTGTGTGTGTGTGTGTGTGTGTGTGTGTGTGTGTGTGAGTGTGTCTGTCTGTGGCATCGTAGCTCTCAAACGGATGAGCCGATTTGGATGTGGGTTTTTTTATTTGAAAGCCAGTTTCCTTGCGGTGGTTCTTAGCTATGTTAGGTTAATATCGGTCCAGCAGTGTAAGAGTATCAGCTGTTTTCCAAAATAATGTAAGGCATTTTGGCGTATGATTACTCGATTAAGTGCTTCACGCGTGCCAGTGTAATCGTTAAGTGGCAATTAATTTGCGTAGTGGGGTTTTTTAATTTTTAATTAACAATATGAGTCCTAAGTATGTTTTATTACTTCTCGTTAACGTCGAAATATGCTGTACATTTAACAACTTTATTTTACATGTGAGTCGATATGTATCTATCTAAGCTTATATTCTTCTCAGCATTGTCTTCAGTCTTTGCGTCATCTACTTTTACGTCTTCTACCTTAATCATCATAATGCCGCCAATGGACACTGAAAATGAATTTATTTATATGAAATAACTAAAATTAGACCAATATAAGACGAAGAAATTTCTAAAGTTTGTCTGTTTACGTTCTTGGTATGAAAACGCTCTTTATAATGAAACTATTTGATAAATTGTAGTAAATAGTCGAAATCTGAAATATTATATGTGGAAAAATTATTATTTGAGATAGTAGATAAAACCTTTTATAATATTTTTATATATTTATTTTAGTATTTTATAATCTTATATATATATATATATATATATATATATATATATATATATATATATTAGTATTTGGAGAAATATACTTATTTTAGGTTTTAATGCAACAGTCTCTGCTCATCAACTCCAAGTTTTGTACATTAAAAATCCACATTTTGTACATTAAGAACATGTTACGTTATTGTATCTTTTATTTGGAAATTCAAATCGACAAGCAAACGAAAAAAAGTCTATATGAGTATGCAGACATCGTAGAGGACCCACGAGATTTTGCCAAGGCCTTTATCATTTGATACTTATTCCAAAATACTTACACGCTAAAAGGGTGGCAACAGATACAAATGGTGCAGGACAGGAGTAGTCTAAGAGTACGCCAACTGCTAAGTTCGAAGCGACGCCACCCGCTCGTCCCCACCAAGCGCCCCAACACACGCCCAGACCACTAAAACAAATAAAAAATGTTAGTGTGCAAATGCTTAAAAAGATGAATTATTTTGTGGGACAGTACAGGGCGTGTAGATTCAGCTGTTATTTCATAGAAACGTAACTATAGGAGTGAACGTTTTTCCCAATTTTTAATAGTAAGTGTGGGATGTGTCGAAGGCTTAACTTTCTTAATACTTTTTTGACATATTTCCAAATTTTATACTAGTGGAAAAATCTTTTATATTTCTATAAGCAATGATTATTACGTATATTTCAGGATTACCTTTTACCTATTTATACTAATATTATAAAGAGGTAAAGTTTGTGAGTTTGTGACGTTGTGAGATTGTAAGTTTGTGAGTTTGTGACGTTGTAGGGGGCAATCTCTGGATCTGCTCAACCGATTTAGATGAAATGTGGTAAGAAGATAGTTTAATACCCTGGGAAGGACATAGAATACTTTTTATCCCGGAAATAATCAATTAAGAGGCTGAAAATAGCGATGAAAGTTTGTATGGAGAATCAAGCCAGGGACGAACCCGAGCGAAGCGAAAGTGATTCGCTAGTTTTTTATAAAGCTGTACTTGAGAACAACGTCTCAACTAGAGTATAGCTGTGACTACACTATACAGTGAAGAAAAATCTATTATCAGAATACGATAAAATTTTAAACACTAGTCTATACCCTGATTTATCTCCAAAATCAAAGAAATAAAGGCTCTCTATCTTTTATTTGAAACCATTTATTGTTCTTTTTGATAATTCAATAAAATAACCATGAGGTATTTGCAAAAATTATGTTAAAATTTAATGTTTTATCGGTAAATAAGTAAATAATTTAAAATATAATAACCACTCACCCCAATTTAGCCGGCAACGCATGCAACAAGACTCTTATTAGTAAAATATTTCCATTCAATGATGCAGCGTTTAACGCAGCCGCCGCGGCTACGGCCAGATGGGAAGTTCCCGTGCAAGCACACACACAAGCCGCCAAACAAGCACACGCCAGTGCGCAGGCCAGCGCGCACAGAGCTGCCGCTCGCCTGACGCCATAACCACCTCGAGATGAAACTAACGCGCAAGCAATGTTACCAAGAACACAACACGCGCCTACTATTAAACCTGATGTGAATATCTGAAATTATAATACTTTTTTAGATTTATTGGATATTTAACTCTATTTAAAACCAGCGACCTTAAATATATTTTTTAAAGTTATCTCGATTTTTTTACTTAAAAAAGTAGCCCAAATTACCCCTTACAACATTAGCTATCTGCCAGTGAAACTCCTGTCAAAATCAATCCAGCCGTTTCAGAGATTAACCGGAACAAACAGACAGACAAAACTTGTGTTTTTCTTATAAGTACTGTATATAATTTTATACGCATTTAGTATAAAACTGTTATTTTGACATTACAAACAGACACTTAAATTTTATTTATCTATATTAACTGAATGTTATTATTGTAAGCTAGTTTGCAATCACTGAAAGTGCTGATTTAATTTAACTGTATAGAAATTAAAGGATGATGACATAATATGACATAAAGCACTCTATCTTAACATTTCTCACTGCACCAGTGAGCGAGTCTGATAAAATCAAATAAATTCTCTTGCGTCTCAGATCAAAATCGTCTCACAAAATATTAAGTACTTTTCAGTCTCTGTAAAATCTATTATTAACTTTTAAAAGCCTTTTTAAAATCAGTTAAGCCGTTCAGAAAATGTCTTGCAAATACAACATGAACTCAAACTGGGGCAGTTATTTTGAATGCATACGTCACACTTCATGTGTATGTAACAGATTACAGAAAAGAAATATTTTTATACCGAATTTAATATTTACATACCGAATCATCAATATTTTCATCGCATTTTTCTTCGTGAACATTAGAAGCGTTGAATTTGTCTAGCTCTCGGGAATACTCGTCATAGATTTTTGGTATATCTTTCCATGCAATATTACTGGCGTTAAATAGCATGGCGGTTTTAGGTAAAGTGACATTAGCTGAACAATCCTTGCCTTTCATTCGAAGAAGGAGTTCTGGGATCCACAAATTTAGACCAAAACCACTAGAAACAAACAAGTTATATGAAGACTAATCTATACATAAAATAAAATTGTAATTCAAATCTGTACATTATTTTTTTTTGGCAAATCTTGTTGAAATAGTCATTATTATCGATACAGAAGCCGAATACTACGAATTAGCATTGTGTTTTAATAAAATAAATAAAATAAAATAGCCTTTAATTACTAAAATAATTTGACATTATACACTCAAACATGCAATTATTTTTCAGGCATAGATATTATTTAGTAAATATAACAATAATAAAGAACAAAAAATAGTATCTTATAAATAAAGCTGATATAATAACAGTAGACCTAATTTAGAATATATTTTATACAATATTATTTGTTCTTTTATTTTTTGTTATATAGAGTGAATGCTATGATTACAAATACATATAATGTAATTAGCTTGTCAATAAAAACTGATTGTGAGTATAAGAATTTTTAATAACTTAGTATTTATTCCAACACAATTGTATTTTACTGTGTTGTAATTTATTAGATCACAATACTAATTAGTGTTTAACCCAAACTAGATTGTCCTGGGCGAATCTAGTATATCCTGACATATTTCGGATGAGTCGGTTTGGTCTAGGACAAACTAGTTTGGCCTTAACTCAGATTTGGTCGGTAACATATACATTAATGTAAAAAGAATATAGAAATCTCACTTACGCAGCCATATTAGCAAAGAAAACAAACAATATTAAACTTGACTTCACAGCATACATTTTTGAAACAAACATCTTAAGGTCTTTTAACACTCCAATAAATAGTACTTTTGTTCTATTTTGTTCTCCACAAAGAGTTTTTGTGATGAAAATATTGTCTTGAATTAATTTTTTTATCTGGAATATGAATATTGAATAAAAAATAAATATCCTCAACTTCGTTAAAAGCAAACTCCAAATATGAAAACAATGTGACGAAGGAACGAAGTATTAGGCGGTCAGAGACATAAGAGTATAATAATTATGTTTTATATTTTTTATTTATATTATTGCTGCAAGTTTTACAACATGTAAGTTTAGGTGCTCTCCGAAATAAAACGTCTAAGCTCCGTTCTGCTACTGATAATTTCCAATTTTGAATTATTTATTGGTCCAGTAGACAAACCTTTTACAGTTGATGAGTATCTACATTGACAGTTGATCATAAGGTCCTAAGTTTCATCCCGGATGGTGTAAAATCAAATTTGACGCAGGAAATTCTCAATAACAAACAGAAGTAACGATTTTTGGTTATTTGTAGGTTTTAAACGCTTTCTCCTATTATGCTAGATTGCTGACCTATCGAAATATTAAAGTAAGCCACTAGTCTCATTAAAAGTTTGTTTTCGTAACCTAAAATTGTGTAGGATATTATTTGTGCTTTCAAATCAACTTTTCATAATACAAAGTTATCTTTCAGTTTAATAAGCTTCTTTACTATGAAAAGACAACTGATAATATTGTATTTAATTTATTCTATTTTTCCCTAACCGACTAAAAATTTATTCTTAAGATTTTATTATTTTTAAAATTAATTTATAATTAACTAGCAGAACCCGCGGCTACGCCCGCGTTTAATCTATAAAAAATTCTTTAGCTTTATGTTATCATCCCCTATTTTACACTCTTAGGGGTTGAAATTTAGAAAACGCTGAAATACGTAACACAGCATTTTTGCCGTACTCAATTCATAGGTCTTGCAAATATGTCCAAGGAATAAAAAGTTTAATTCAAAATTTTATCCTCTATTTCACCCTTTGGGGGTTAAATATATTTTATGTTCATATATTTTATGATGCATGTTGTGTTTTCCTATAATCAGGGAAGCTCTCAGCATGCAAAAGTCGTCATGATAAAATTGGGCCTGTATAATTATTGTTTACCGAATTGGGAGCCTTATATAATTAATAAATAAATAAGAACATCGATTACATCACTATAAAACATAGTAATTCTTCAACATACTAACCTTGAATTCTGCTCTACTGCCTTTATTACATTTGTTGATATAAGCCATAATTTTTAATGCCTTATCTCCTCTATTGGTATCTGATAATAATCTAGGGCTTTCAGGCAGGAATAGAACCCATATACCCGATAAAAAGCCCGGTATACTACCTAATGCCAGATACAGTCGCCATGAGTAAATAGGTAAGAGGGTGGTGTAGCCATCCAACTGCAATGGTATCACTATCCATGCGATCGCTGTAAATAAAATATACGTAAATAAATTAAAAAAGAACTTGATTTTCTATCCTATAAATTTTGTAAAAGTTAATATATTTGTTAATCTTTCACGTAAAAACTACTGACGAATTTTTAAGAATAACATATATGTTACGAGTATAATACCTATATGTTATTCTATTATAATACCTAATATATAATATAACCCTATGGGGTGTAATAATTAATAAAGATATAGTAATAAAGAAATGAACTATGCGACAGACACTCGGGAAAATGCTAATCTTTTGTATTATTATGTGCTCAGAAATAAGTTTTAAAGAAAAATGAAAACTAGTTATCTATTGTACAATTTTTCGATGTGCATATGATCGTTCTTCTCGCCCTAAACGGCTTGACTGATTGTGATGAAATTTTATATATGTATTTATTGAAATTTTATTTTGGGTTTTCTGGTGATAATCTATAGATGGGCCTGAGAAGCTGTTGTTAAAATTGTTTTTTTTTTTCGCAAATACAATTATAGGACACTGCTATTTGGATAATGTCTGAACAACGTCTACCGGATCGACTAGTTAGTTGTATCTATATAAATAAAAATGATTCACCGAAATGTATGTATACGCATAACTTCCGATCGACTGCACTAAATACGATTATTCTTTTTTTTGTGTTTTTTTATAATTGTTAGGAAAAGTTTTGTATAGAAGAAAATCAAAAGAATTTTTTTTTACTAAAATAAGTTTTTTTAAATCTCATGATATAAAAAGTGAGTGAGTGAAATAGTTTCTATCCCGGAAATCATACCTTAAGGGCGTGAGAATGGGGATGAAAGTTTGCATAGGAAAGTAAGCTAGGGACGAACCCGAGCGAAGCTAGTGTGAGTCGCTAGTATAATAATAAATAATAACTACTTTTCCTTAAAGCTCAACGAAAGTTTGTAAAGAGAAACTGAAAGTGGTGCCGACCGTTAGGTACATTGATAAAACGTATATTTGACAGCTCAAAAAAAAGTATGGTCTATACTCATTGAGCTTAATGCATATACCGTTACTAGCACTTCGAGATAAAATATTAGCTTTTAAAAGTGTTACAGTCATTGTTTAGTTGTAATTTAATATATCTACATATGTAGATTTTGCATTTAAATTCATAATTAGTGGTCAAGTCTAAGGTCAAATATTAAATATTACATTCATCACATCAGACTTACTTAAAAAGCTTATGAAAAAAATATTTAAGAGCACGCAGAGCTTTTTGTTTAAGTCTCTATCTCTCTAAATTATCTCTCTAAATTATCTATCTAAATTAGGTACTAAAATAATATAAAACGTATTATAAATTTGCAATTAAAATATTTTGAGGTTTAATAACTACCGAACTGTAGATAAATATTTATATTTTTGGCCATATTATTAAATATATTAACAAATAAAAATAAATAATGTAACATTAAATCAATTAATACTAAAAATATTTAATCCATAGATAGAAAAATCTTTTTATTTTTATGCTACCATTATTAATAGCGAGAGTAATCTATGATGATTGACGTTTCCGTTTTGAAATATTAGTCAAAATCTTTCAATAGCAATTTCTTTCCTAAAAAACCTGATTGGAAGATGTGTGTAAGTAAACCATGTTTTGAGGTCGTAATTATTGAAACAATATAGCAGTGAATGGCATTTTCAATTATTTTATAGAGACTAAGTATCACTAACGAATAGCTTAAGATATTATCTATACTAATATTATAAAGCTAAAAAAATAATTTTTAGAAATACAGGTCCGATTACAAAAAAAATGTCACGGCTTGATCCCTAGAAGATGAGCAATTATCTTAAAAAGCGGAGGTAGTACAGAGCCGAATTTAAAATGTGAGGTCCCCGGAGTAATTAAGGAATGTAGACAACTAAAGAAGTACATGTAATGTAATTAATGAAATTATTTTGGATTATTTTTTTAATTAATCAAATTTACGGTTCCAGCGTTCCAATTCCAATTGACCCAGCGTGAAGCTTTGGGGCTAAAGTCCTCGATATCTTCCTGTAAGTTCAGCTCTGAAGTTAGTAAGTACATAAACTAACCCAGAATTTTAAACAATTTATTCTACAGCAAATGTTGACAATCCTGAAAGCTCTTCACATTAAAAGCTCAAGTGAGAAGCTTGATGATGATGTTCTCCTGGCCGATTCCGGCTACGGCGGCCAATCTCATTGAGATTAGCCAACTGCGCAGGAGATATTATAGTACTCAAGTGTACGCGCAGACACAAGTGCACTCTCTATTCCTATCACTCTCATACTCCGGTGGGACGACCACTCAACACGACCGTTGAGAGTTAAGGCGCAGGACCGACGGCTTTACGTGTTCTCCGAGGCACGCGGGTTAAACACCGCCAACTTCCCAACTCCGGGCTGTTACTGAGACAGAAAGACTCTATAACTAAACTTGGCCCGGCCCGGGACTCGAACCCAGGACCTGCGGGTGTGCAGCCGCACATGCTAGCCATTACACCACCGAGGCAGTCATAACAACGACAATAACAACGAAAAGCTTATACTATATATAAAGTTTTGTTTGACCACCTCATCTCAGTTGTATAGATACATAAATATATTTTATGCGACTTAAACATTAAAACTTACCAGGTAATATGAGCCAAGCTGCGACAAAACTCATTCCAGTAATATCCAAATATAGCTGTCTTCTTTTGTAACCTACTAAGTCTGATAAGTAAGTGAAGACTAATGTTGATGGAGCACCTGGAAGTATATATTTTTTATATATTATACTAGTTTTCACCCCTAGTTTTGCTTGCATCATTTGTCAATATCACATAGCTTATACGATTTTTGACCTACAAAACTTATTATATTTATTGAAGAAGGTTTATGGCCACCATGACCATGATAAATAGCGCATTTTACTATGTTTTAATAATATTATACATTATATTATTTTTTTAATATTAATTATTACAATTTTTTTTATATTTATATTATATTATATGGCTACAAGATTCTATATCACTTATCTATAAAATAAAATGAAGTTAAAATAAGGCCTAATAATAACTGATAACAGATATTTAGACTATTCATCAAATTTCCTGGTTCAATCGTTATTATATACTAGCACAGATCATATAATACTATACTTACTAGGTTAAATTCAATTCAATTACATAATGGGATTTTTGCAGAACCGATTTTTTAAGCTACATTGAATTAACTGAAACTCAATAGTTTATTTATCAATAGATATCTATATCTATCGATAAGATTTGATAAAAATAGAAATTAACTTCTCGTCAAAGTCCACATAATTGCTATTATACTAAGTAAGAATGTTTCTTGCAGATGTTGATATATTTTTCCGCTATATTAGCGATATTGATTGTAGAAAGTCTTGTAACTTGTTTAATAACAATATTAAGGCATAAACTTACGGGAAAGTTCTAGAATAAGTGTGAATTATCTATACATATAATAAAATTGTAACTAATCCGAATCTGTACATCAGATATTTTTTGGAAAATCTTATTGAAATAAACATTATTGTCGATACAGAGGCGGAATCTAAGTTTTTAGAATTTTTGTCTGTCTGTCTGTCTGTCTTTCTGTCTGTTACCGCATCACAGAAAAACCACTGGAGGTATTTTGATGAAATTTGGTATGGTGATAGCTGGTTATCCGGGTCAACACATAAGATTCTTTTTACCGCGGGAAAATATCTCCTTTCTGAGAAAAAATACAAAAACTGTAAAGTAAGAGTACCAATATGTAAAACCTAAGAATTTTTTTTCTTTTTCTTGTGAACGCGGGCGGAGCCGCAGGCAATGCTAGTTTAAAGTATTTATTATATATGAAGTTATGAATAAAATCTTTATTACCAATCAAAAATCCATTGATAGTCCTGGCTGCTAGCAGCAACCTGTAGTCTGATACAGTACTTTGAGCGAGAAGTATCGTCGAATCCACAAGTAGTGTCATACTGAGGATGTTCTTTCTTCCGAATACATCACCTACTATGCCCCAGAAGAAAGCACTCGCAACCCCACCTAGAATTGTTAGGAAAATATAAACATTTTATTGTATTTTCAAGGTTCCTTGAAAATAGGATTGTATTGAATCGTGGTAGGTGATTGGTTCTTCTTGAAAATATATGATACAAGCATCGCCCCATTGGATGGTTAATTGGAAATTTAAAAAAATAGCCCTTCTAAACGTGAATAAAACGCACATCTATACATGTAATAAAATTGTAACTAAGTCGAATATATAGTGTTTAGAATTTTTGTCTGTCTGTCTGTTTGTCTGTCTATCTGTTACCGCATCACAGAAAAACCACTGGAGGGATTTTGATGAAATTTGGTATGATGATAGTTGGTTATCCGGGTCAGCATATAGGATACTTTTTACCGCGGGAAAATATCTCATTTTTGAGAAAAAATACAAAAACTGCAATGTAAGAGTATACTAATATGTAAAACCTAAGAATTTGGTTTTTGGTCATCTGGACTCGGGGGGAGCCGCGGGCAATGCTAGTTTTAATATAATATTGACAATAAAATGAGGTGTCAGCTCTACATGCTGAAATATAGGTGTTCTAGTACCGCAACAGACGCAACTATTATATAATATTTTGTACTAATGATGTATGTATGTATTTAGCCCTTTTTAACGTCCCACTGCTGGCCTCCCTTCAATACGGAGGGGATCACGCCGTAGCGGGTTAGCGGATTTCACGTCTTTTGAAAACTTGCTAAGTTCTCTCAGACAAGCAGACTTACTCACGATATTTTCTTTCGCTGTAAGACTTGTGGTAATCATGTTGGAAAGGATTCACACATAAAAATATAAGACGCACGAGACCCGGAATTCGAACCCGCTTCACTTGGTTTTCAAAGCGGGTCACCACTAAAATATTTGTTACAACTATCTAATAATTTATATACCTATGTATCGTTTTGAGAAATAAAAAATATATTTACTGAAAAGTTATGAGATTACAAGAAGACATATTGCGTCATGCTTATTTGTGTCCGAACGATTAACCGTTTAGCAGAAACGAGCTTAAGAAGTAAATTGATCGATACCAATCGATTTGCGACAATCGCGCCTACTGATAATGAACTATATATCGAAGTTTTGCAAGCCTTGTTATTCTATACTTATGTTAATACTTTCATAGATTTAGGCGAAAAATTCCGAAAAGATAGTGTTATTTGAAATGTACTAATACTTTAGGTAATATTGATGCCATAGCTGGTGTAAGAGGGAACCGGACACATGTACGTACGTTTAAAATAGAGATCCTTTTTAAAGTGGTAGGACAAAAGTCGAGAGTTTACGACTAATACTTTATCCGTGATCATGTTTGCCGTAAAAAATCTAACACGTCAGAAATGAAGAATAAAAACGCGAAAAATTCGCTAGAAAAACAGTTTTATTACAATATTTTGATTAGCGGAATTCTATGAAAGCATTACGTAACATAATATGTACGGAACTCAAAAATTTGTTAAGTATTCGAATATTGGTACTTGTAGGTGATATAGCTATAACACCATTTAGGTTATAGTGTCATATTGACTTAAATAATTTGTTTTTATCGACAATTTGTGTAATCTTTTTGAATTTGGGCATAGAGTGAGAGCTCAATTTTGACGTTAAATTATTTGCATTAACTATATACTACATTATCATCATATTTAAAAAAATATTCCTAGTTAAAAATTGTAACAATAAATACTTTCCTTGAGCAGAAATCGAACCTACTTACTATCTTTGATTGAGAGACATAAGAATGACATTGAATTTTAAGGCAAAAGGATACTATTTTAAATAAAACTATCTTTTCGGATTTTTTCGCGGATTTATTTTGATTTTTGGTTCCCGACGTTTCGAATGCTTTGCAGCATCCATGGTCACGGGAGAGACTGAGGTGTTACATGTCTTGAAGGTATAGTTGTTACAGACAGCCTACCCACAATTAACAAAATGAAAATTGCACCAATTACCTTACAATATTTTTTAACCCAAAATATTTTGGAACCAAAAATCAAAATAAATCCGCGAAATAATCCGAAAAGGTAGTTTTATTTAAAAATGTCAAACATTCGCGTAAATCTAAGAAAGTATTACAAAAGGAGACTCTTTTTGGATCCTGTGTTCTTCCAATCAATTAAGTCATCTTTGTAGATTAAGAATAGATTTTAATATCTTTACCAGTAATCTATTTATAAATAAATAATGGCAAAAGATTTCAGTACATATTTCTCTTCTGTTTTTCAACGGCTTTTCTTTTTCTTTATTAGCTATTGACGACCTGAATGCTGACAATGAAAAAAAATACAAACAGTTCGTTTTTCTATATAGTATCTCCATAAGTTATCTCAAATTTTCAATAGTGATTGTAAAATTTCAACTTATTATGAACTTTGGATATAATGCCTAACAAGATTTCCCATTAATTGATTTCTTTTTAAATTTTACATAGTATTTCTGGAAGATATGATTTATACAAACTGTACTGTATTTAGCAAAATAATCGAAAGTGTTCATCAAATAAAATTATGGCTAAACGATATGACATATATGTATGCGCAAAATTACGATGCTCTTGACCTTACACGTTACATGTCATTTCGACGTTGTAATATATGGTAGTGTCAATATTGGGTTTTACTTATATGTATAGGAGTGTTTTGTTAATTGGGAGGTTTCCTAACCTTAATTTGCCTATATTTTACTGCATATATGTATAAGCTTAGTTAAGATGTCATTTTACAGAGGGACGTAGTTATGCAAAATGGATCCAGCCCACGAAATCGTTTTTGGAGTGACTATCATAAATTGCACCTACTTATCAACTTATATATAGAAAGTATATAAAATACCCAATATTTAAGAGAAATTTCAAAAAAAACGGCGGTCTTTTTATTTTGATATACCAATTTTAATAAAACTTCTATTTTCTCAAAAGTAAGTTTTGTGATTGGATCTATTTTGCATAGCTACCTACCTCCAATTAACATCAGCAATAAAAATAGTATTTGTATGACAAATCTTGGAATCCTCGTACGTCATTCCTATATTTTTTTTAAGGCTAAGCTCTCCATGTCAACATATCGTTTTCGATTGTAAACCGGTTTTATAAACTCTTTTGTTTTTTAAATAGTCCACATTTGGTGTTGAATCGAGTGTAGTGAGTCTCCTTGATGTTTTTAAAATTCACCATCGTTTAATCAGCCTGCTTTTGTCCACTGCTAGACATGTGCCTCTCCTATAGCATGCCACTGTGCTCGATTTTTAGCTCTACGCATCCAACCGCTGCCAGCCACACATATCGTCGCTCCACCTAGCTGGAGGGCGCCCTACACTACTTTTGAGATGAGATTCAGACAGAAAGGATAAGCCGTGGCTTAAAATACCAGATATATATATATATATATATATATATATATACATATATATATATATATATATATATATATACATATATATATATATATATATAATGTTATGTAAAAATGGAATAGCATGTGTGAGACATATATTTTTTCTTTTATTTATTTAGATAATCATAATTTAAAGGAAAATGTTGTATCTATATTAAGTCCATACATAGTATCCGCAATATGATGATGATATCGTCCTGACCGATTTGGACCACGCCGGCCAATCTCACTGATAGAACAAATGCGCTCTCAATTCCTTTTGCTCTCAAAGTCCATTGGGATCTTACTAGATAAATTCAGTAATTAAACTTGGCCCGATCCGGGACTCGAACCCAGCTAGCCAGTACACCACCGAGGTAGTAGTATCAGCAATTTACAATAACAATAACAACAGCTTTATACCACCTCACATCTATCATATACATACACGTCTATTCATATACATATGTGTATTATATCCGTCTATAATATTCTTTTCAAATGTACTAAACAGAACATATATGGAACATAGGAAATATAAAATAATTTATAATTCAATTAATATATACTTTTAATGTTATAATTCTTTAAAAAATAATATAAATATACTCACCACTCATGAAAGCCATATTAATTAACCCAGCTTGATACGTAGTCAGTTTGAGCTCGCACTTAGCGGCAGGCAACACGTATGACATCACGCAGTTTTGCACGCCCGTTGTGAAAAATGCGCACGCGCAAGCAAAGAGAACACTGCGGCTAAACCGTCCATAACCTGCGGACAATATTTAAGCTTTGTTATTATTTCATACATATTTCAATAAGTATTATTAGAATACCAACTCAATTCGAGATCATTTAAAAAAATTAATGTATATGTTTATTTGGACTAATCTCCGAAACTAGTGTACGGATTTTCATACGGTTTTCATAAATAGAAAGAGGAAGTATCTCGCAATGATATAAGTTAAAAATAAATTAATTAATTGAATAAACATCCCTTCTGATAGCTTTTGTAAAAATATGATAAATGCGAATGATGTCTAGAGACTGTAGTAAAAAAAAATTAATAAGGCTCGACTTGGAGTTCTTACTAATATTACGAAATACAAAATGCTTTATGTTTTTTGTTTGATGTTTATTATGAATGTCTCATCCCATTGAGTTGAAATTTGTCAGGTACATACATGTACAGCTACAGGCATAAGCTATTTTTTGTTTTAGGCAAATAATAAATTTATTCACTTATACATAGGTACATATTATTACAATAGATGAATATCTACTTCGTAGTATTACTTTATTTTTGTTAGTTTTAACGATGCCATCAACTACCAAACACAAAAATTAGTACTTCGCTCGCGCTAAAACTTCAAAAAATCTCTAAAAAGGTAGTTTCATACAAATTTTCATTCCCTATTTTACCCCCTTATAGGATGAATTTCGAAAAATGCTATAACACGTATTTATTTAATTTTATTGAAGAGCATTAATACCAAGTTTTAAGTAATTCTGATCATTAGTACTTTTTTGAATTGTATTATAACGTATATTCCCGTGGGAAGTAGATAATCTCGGTAAAAAGTAGTAAAGTCACTCTGTTTCGACGTGAATGAAGGACAAACAAACAAACAAACACACTTTCATATTTACAATATTAAAGTATGGATATATAGTTTATCTATTCCATACTAAGCGTCAAAACGTACTATAGGGACTATTCAAACGAAGCGATGGTGAGTCGCTAATTGTACATAAAGTTAATATTTACGCGTACGGAAATCGCCTTACTGACACTAACAAATCTCACTACCCTATTGAGAATATTATGAATATGTCAAAATATTGTACAAATAACTACAATAACAGTTTTAAATTAGATATATTAGCACATTTTAGCGTAAAATTGAGTTCCAAAAACTAGAGTTATATCGTCAAAACGCAAGCCTATATACAGGAAATAAACTATGTGTGAATTTACAATACAAATATTATTTAAATAATCATTTATGGTATAAATCATTTCTTATTACCACACCGCAATATACGTATATCATATACGTATATCATATACGTATATCATATACGTATATGTATGAGCAGTGGTAACACGCTCGCTTGGGAAACCAAGTGAAGCGGATTCAAATCTCGGGTCTCGCACCTCTGATATTTTCATGTGCGAATCATTTGTAACATTGCCTTACGGTTAAGGAAAACATCGTGAGGAAACCTACATGTCTGAGAAAACCTAACAAGTTTTAGAAAGGCAACTGAAGTCCGCCAACCCGCACTTGGCCAGCGTGGTGGACTATGACCTGAACCCCCTCGTATTGAAAGGAGATAAAATTGGGATGTTAAAAGGGCTAAATACATACATACCATCATTCTTCTGGTCTATTATTTCCTATATTTTACACAGAATAATAAAACAGTACTCTATTAGGAGCTCGTAAAATTTACTACCAATTTATCACAATAATGGTCTGAACAATAACATGGTCGAGATAATATTTACAATATCGAGCATTGTCAGCTAAACTCCGGTGTTTAAATTCCAAACCAACACAATGTGTGAGACATGAGATCAGTATGCTATGGCTTGATTGTTATATAATAAAATATAACTACATATCCATACTAATATTATAATTAATGTGATTGTGTATTTGTTTGTTTGTCGTTATTTCACGTCGAAACAGAGTGATGGATAGGAGGGATGACTTTCGGGATAATAACTATTTCACACACTCGCTTTTCATATCATGAGATTAAAAAAAATCTTATTTAAAAAAAAATATTTTCTTCTATATAAAACTTATCATGACAATAACAAACACAAAAAAAAAGAATTATCCTATTTGGTGCAGTCGATCGGAAGTTATGCGTGTACATACATTTCGGTGATTTATTTTTATTTATTTTATTTAACCTGAGCGAAGCGAGGGTGAGCCGCTAGTATATAATATATAATAATATATGTACAAACGATTTTTTTGTATCGATAAATAATGAATTAAATTGAACTTTAAACGTAATAAGCTTAAGAACAAGCCAAGAAATAATTATTTTTATGATTATTAAATTCATTGGCTAGTCTCATAGGGATCAGCCGCCGAAATCAAAACCATTGAGAAGGATATTATTTGTTTGTGTGTGTTTTTATGTCAAAATTTTTTTATATAATCATAACTCTTTTTTTTTGAAAAAAAAAATGATCTTGGGATGCTCTTCACCATCAGCCAAAATTATGGTTTTTAGACTAATTTTCTATTTTTAAGTATTTTTCATTGCAAAAAGCTTGAAATTGAACAAATTTCATAGTGAATTTGCTATCAAGATAATATTCTTAATTAAAAATAGAGCTAAGTTGTAAAATATATAGAGCATAATGCGAGGTTCATACTTCGTAGTTGTACTAAGTAGAAACACATAACTATGTACGTAAGAGAAGCAATAGACTGAAACTTGTATAGCAGTAAATAAAAAGAATAATTTGGAATGAATTATACCAGCTTATTAGGCAGTAGCCTAGTGGTGATGCGCACGTCTGAATAAAAGTTCAAATCTCGGATTGCGAGACCTTTGATATTATTGTATGCGAATATTCCCAACATGATTACTACTTACGAAAAAAATATTTTGAGGAAACCTGCATGCCTTAGAGTAGAACGTTTTCAAAAGACATCGAAAATCCGCCAACCCTTGACCAGCGTGATGGATTATGGCCTATCCCTCCGCACTGAAAGGTTTGCCAAGCAGTGAGACCTTAAAAAACAGAATACCATACTAAAAGCGAAAACTTACAATTATAGAGTTCGAACGTGCGACCTTCTCAGGCTGTAATGCTACATTCGTCTAATCATAAATATGCCATATAAAACGCAATATAAACTTTCTTGAGCTCCGAATCAAATAAACAGATATGACAAGTGACTATCGTTAACGTCGCTTCTGACAGTAGAAAATAACTCTACTTGAGCGAAAATGCAAATTGTTTATATCCCATTAAACAATTTCTAACATAATTATATGCAAACACTTTCATCGACCTTTTATTTTTATAGGATTATTATTAAGGAAGAATGGTATTTTATTTATTTTAATCTAAATAACCATTTTCTCATTTTTAACCGATTTTCCAACTTCGAACTGTTACCAACTTTTTTTTATTGGTAACACTAAATGTTATCATTAAAACAAGTTTGGTTACAGATAGTTTTTTTTTATTATATAGGCAGGTAAATTCTATTTATATATTTTTTCCTCAAATCAATATTGGAGCTGATAAAAAACTGAATATCCAGCAGAAATATGTTTTTATAGATCATAGATAGTAGTTGAAGGTTTATGTTTATGGCTAAAGATATGCTTAGTACCTGATCTAGTCACGGGCCTCCTCCCAATACAAAGAAGATTAGGCGAAAGTCCACCACGCTGGCTAAAGGCGGATAATGTTTGCCCTACAGTTATACTAATGAAGTTTGCCGTCATCATATTAGAAAGTAATAATCAAGTTGAGATTCACACATAAAAATCTTAAATGTGATCAAAGATTTGAACCCGCTTCCAATCTACCGCAATACCTCCATGCCAATAGCGTAAATACTAATTTCACGATTGATGTAATTTTTTAATTATTTTATGCCTTTTCATTAGTTGAATGCCTCTCAAAAGGAAACAGCTTTAAATGTCATTTTTTTTCGTCTTTCTGCATTTTCGAGATCGGTGAGCAAACCGCAAAATAGCTATCTTGATTTATGTACAGACGAACAAAGGAAAATTGTTTTTTATATTATTTTTAGTTTAGTGGACGTAAATATTTTATATTGAGCTGGAGTTAATCGGTCTCTGTTATAAGATTATTCTATCCTTTTATGTAAAACATACGCGATATGTTATTTGCAATTATTTACAGTGTCTTAGTTCATATAATAATAAATATAAAAATATGTAATAATATTTTCTAAGATTTACGTGAATAAATGATATGTTAAATTAAAAAAAATTGGGGTTTTTACACGATTTTATTTCGATTTTTTTTTGTTTCCGATATTTTCAATGTTTTACAGCGATTCGATCACGTTCGCTCTAAATTCGCAGTTTCGCTGCTTCGAGTTTGAAATTACCATAAAAAATAAAAATGAAACCGCAAAACCTATGGAAAAATAAAAATAAATATAATTTTTATTTATTTTTGTCTATTTGGAAAACGACCCGAAAATGTGGTTTGTCAAGCGTGAACAACTACAACTATGTTCAGTAATTTGGACCACCAGGGGCGGCAGACAAATGCAAGCCGAAATTGACTATCTGTCCGAAACTATGATCGTTTTCGGTTACTCTATAAGTTTTTCTGTATGAAATAAAGTACGTGTGTGTGCAATTCACACATGGTAGAAGTGAAACTTAATATTATATATTTGTCAGACAATAACAACGGTTACCATGGCAACATGGTAATGTATTCTATCTCATTCTCTCGCCGGCTTAATCCTATATACTTACTAAAAAGTGACGCATTTCCGTTTCATCGAGTTTCAATTCACAACGATTCTACAGAAGTTTCACTTCAAAAAACCATATGGTATTATTAAAAGGCCAAATATTATTATATTAATACCCATAAATATATATTAATACCCAAATCTGAAAAATAATATAAAAATTGGATACAAAAACTGTTTTAATATTATATGTTAGTTTAGAAGTGTTATATATATGTAACATTCTCTTCCACGAATGATTAATTATAATTATAACTTTGAAATGACAGGACCATATAAGATGCTGGTTTCCGTTAAACACTCTCACCGAAAATTCGTACAAAAAATCTTCAAACTCATCCAACAGGTTTGAATTGCATTTTTGAAACCAAGCCACAAAAGATGATGCAAGACACAGTTATTTTAAATGATTATTCCGAGAATTATTTATTATGAATTAATATTATACGCATGACGCAAATTAAGATGTTTTAAACCCTTTGTTAGTGGACTTTAATTTTTTATTAACTCGCCTTCCAGTCCTTTTGAGCAACCGACATAAAAAAGGAGACTCTAAATTCGGGTGTTTATTTATTCGTGTACGATATCCTAAGGTGGTTCCATATAAATAAAAAAAAAAACCCCAAGAATAATTACTTTTAAGCTATTTTGAATTCAATGTAACTTGTAAAAAGTAATCATTTTAATCTATCGAGTAGAGAATCAAATATATAACCTGACCCAGGACTCGAACCTATGATCCAAAATCATACATGCCATTAGACCAACGAGGCCTGCTTTCAGTATCGTAACATATCTTTAAAAGATATAGTTAAAAAGTTATGACATTTCAAACTAAATATATGTAGGTACGGTTTTTTCTACCACTTATTATATCTATAGTACATATAATAAAATTGTAACTAAGTCGAATCTGTACATTAATTTTTTTTCTTTTGAAATTTAATTGAAATAGACATTATTATAGATACAGAGTCCGAATCTATAGTTTTTAGAATTTTTGTCTGTCTGTCTGTTACCGCATAACGAGAAAACCACTGGGCAGATTTGGATGAAATTTGGTATGATAATAGCTGGTTATCCAGGTCAACATATTTTCAAGGTTCCTTGAAAATAGGATTGTATTGAATCGTGGTAGGTGATTGGTTCTTTTTTAAATATATGATACAAGCATCGCCCCATTGGATAGTTAATTGGAAATTAAAAAAAAATAGCCCTTCTAAACGTGAATAAAACGCACATCTATACATATAATAAAATTGTAACAAAGTCGAATATATAGTTTTTAGAATTTTTGTCTGTCTGTCTGTTTGTCTCTATCTGTTACCGCATCACAGAAAAACCACTGGAGGGATTTTGATGAAATTTGGTATGATGATAGTTGGTTATCCGGGTCAGCATATAGAATACTTTTTACCACAGGAAAATATCATATTTCTGAGAAATATACAAAAACTGCATTGTTATAGTATACTAATATGTAAAACCTAAGAATTTGGTTTTTGGTCATCTGAACGCGGGCGGAGCCGCGGGCAATGCTAGTTATAAATAAAACTACGTACCTAATGTAATACAGTTAACGTTAAAATGTCACAATTCGTTAAAGAGGACACTAAAAAAGTAGAATAATTGATAGTTAAAAAAAAATTAAAACTTCTAAAAATTAAATAAAACTATCTTTTCGGATTATTTCGCGGATTTATTTTGATTTTTGGTTCTCGACGTTTCGAATGCTTTACAACAATCATGGTCACGGGAGAGACTAAGGTTATAGACGTCTCAAAAACATACTTGTTACAGACAGTGTCTACCCACTATTTTACAAAAATGATTTCAAAAATTCAAAAAATGGCAATAAAGTACCTTACCATATTTGTTAAAACATTTAAAAAAATGTTTAATAAGCATTATAATTAAATATAGTAATATTATTCATTTATTTAATTTTAGCTGTCGTCGGAAATCAAAAATCTAAATAAATCCGCGAAAAAAATCGAAAAGATAGTTTTATTTAAAATGTCAAATATTCACGTAAATCTAAGAAAGCATTATTCTAAAAATTAATTTAATTTTATCTGAATAATATTTAAGCATCCCGTAGCCAAAGGGCAAAAACACATCGCTTATAAATTATCCTGTCCGTTTGTTCATCACAACCATTTTACTCGGACCCCATTTTTATTTATTTCGACAAATATTATTAAAAACTTATTTGAAAACGTTCATAATTTTCTTATGACACGCGATTTTGTTACCGACTGTGAACTAATTTAATGATTAATTGAAAAAACATTCCTGTTCTCAACGTGAAATGAATTTTAGAGCGGTTTGAAGCCGATTTAATTTTTACTTTAAAATATTTATGTTGGTTATTTAAAAAAAAATATTATGTAGACTTTGAACATACTATGTTTTTTAGACAGCTACAAGTTCTAAATATAATTGCTGATTTCTCATTCCTTATAATAATAAAGGCCTTTTTACGCTCAAAGCAAGGGTGTTCAGGCCACGGCCAACTAAGTTGGCCAAATGATTCGTATATAAAAATTACAGTCGTGAGAACCGGAGTATAAACTTGTTTCACTAAGTTTTTCAAGCGGGCACTTTAATTTTGAGACTAAACATCTACGGGATATTTTCCATATAATAATGTCCTCCCGACCGATTCCGGTCACGGCGGCCATTCTCATTGAGACTAGCCAATTGCGCAGGAGATATTATAGTGCACAAATGTACGCGGAGACGCAGCGTGCACTCTCTATTACTGTCACTCTCATACTCTGGTGGGACGACCACTTGACACGACCAGTGAGAGTTAAGGCGCAGGAACGACGGCTTTTCATGCTCTCTGAGGCACGGGGAACACTTCTAAGCACTTCCAACTTCCCAACTCCGAGCTTTTACTGAGGCTTACTATACAGAAAGACTCAATAACTAAACTTGGCCCGACCCGAAACTCGAACCCAGGACCTCCGGATGTGAAGCCGTACATGCTAGCCACTACAGCACCAAGAAAGTTTATTTATTTATTTTTCTATAGATAACTTTTGACTAAGGAGGTTAGTAGTTAAATAGAGAAATAAATATTACTTACATATTTTGCTCGTGAAAAGTGTTTCTTTCTACCTCTAGCTTGATGCAATTATTTCGATATTGAAAAATTGGCGATATAAACTTAACAGGGCATTAGATGCTTTTTAAATAAATTTTGTTCTCAAATTATTATTATTTTAAAGAAAAATAGCTGGGGAATGTCACATAAATCCCAAGATGTGTTCTTTTAGTGGCATATTGGTATTGCATTTGCTTATTTATGTTCAACGTTATAATCATTAGCACTTGCTACTATGGTGTACTACTGCAAATATAAAAAAAACCCAACACGAGAAATCCACCCTGCTTTTGGCCACAGAGGTATAAACTTTTCGCGTTAGGAAGACACTCGTCCCTTGCAATGTGACTTTAAAGCGGCTTTTATGTCCCGAAAAATAGTCGAGCCTAGTTTAATACATGAGTGTTGTTTAACCATTTTAGTTGTAGTATTATAGTTAGGCGAATTTAATAAATATATATAAAAAATCATGTTCAATTAATCAGACAGATGAATAGATTAATATGTAAATATAACATTATCTCAAACCAGTTACAGCGCGTGTTTTATCACAATATTTAGGTGCGATTCTAGCGATAGTACAATATAGAGTCAGCGTTTCTATGATGACGTCAAGAGGTCGTACGTGATATATTAGGTTACTGCTTAAAGTTTAAACGCCCATTTAATATATGCACCAAAAACACAAATTGATGCAAAAATTGTATAATGAAAATGTATTTAAAAATATAATTAAAAATAAAAAAAACCCCTACGCAAATTAATTGTCATTTAACGTTTACACTGGTACGCGTGAAGCACTTAATCGAGTAATCATCAATCAACTGATACTCTTACACTACTGGACCGATATTAACCAAACATAGCTAAGAACTACCGCAAGTAAACTGGCTTTGAAATGAAAAAAAAACCGCATCGCAGTCGGTCCATCCGTTTGAGGGCTACGATGCCACAGACAGACACACACACAGACAGACATCGACGTCAAACTTATAACATCCCTCTTTTTGCGTCGGGAGTTAAAAAATTACTACAAAGAAAAAATAACTTACTACTACAGATTTTTTGCTATTACTACATTTAAAATTGTAAGATCAAAGGTTTTAGGAAATTTCCTTCGAAAACAACAACACGAAACTACATATTATGTGAAAAAACGTATATATACGTATAAAAGTTATATTTCAGTCATAGACATGAATCCAAAGATATTTCAACTCACTCAGAAAATGACTATATTCGTCAATTCTTGAATATTTTCACAGATGATCACTCCAAAAAAATTCTATTCAAACCAAAAAATAAAATTAATTACTTTAAAAACCAGTGGTCCATCTCAAAATGTTGACTTAGGTTTTTTTTATATAAAAAAAAAATGTTTTTATAAGGAAAAAAACTTATTTATTCGCTCCACCCTAATGTACAATAAAAATGTATAATATATAATGAATAGAGAAAATAACATTAGAATAATTTAATACGGAAAAGCAGTATTTTAGTTTACGAGTATATAGGTACTAAATTAATTATTATTTAGATTTAACTTACCCGCCGCGTCCAGAGCCGTTTCGTAATCTGCGACCTGTGCAGCATCTTGAGTTTCTCCCCTTTGGGCTGTAAAGAAGAGATTGTTAATAAATCATCTGAAACAATATTTCTGTATCTCTGTGTTCTGTATCACTACACAGTATAAAACAAAGTCGCTTTCCGCTGTCTGTCTGTGCCTATGTATGCTTAGATCTTTAAAACTACCCAACGGATTTTGATGCAGTTTTTTTAATAGATAGAGTGATTCAAGAGGAAGGTTTATATGTATAATACATGCATGATATAGTAGAGAAACACTGATAATTTTAGAGGTTTCTAATGTGATGTCGTGAATAAACACATTTTTTGCGCTTACATTGCAAACGCTGGTTGTACCCTACGAGATAGATCAAAATAATGTACTACAGTATTGTACATCTTAAAAAGGTCTACAAAAAAGTCCGCGATGGCATATGTCTATCTCTTAAGGATAACATACTATATCCATTATAATAGTTCTAATATATATTACAATTTTGAATTTCCATTGTATGTATTCCGCCCTATTGCTGGACACGGGCCTACCTTCAAAGTGAGGGGATTAGGCCAAAGTCCACCACGCTGGGAAAGTGCGGACTTCATATATCTTTCGAAAATTTGCTAGGTTCTCTCAGATAGGCAGGTTTCTTTACAATGTTTTCCTTCACCGTAAGAATGTTCCTTCCTTTTACACAAATATAATTAATTTAAAAGGTCGTTCTTTAAGCTCCCGGTGCCTCCCTAGGTACCTTTTGTATGTATAATATTATATACAGGTAGTGCCACCTTTGGGCAAATTTTATTAATAGCAGTTAGATTATAAGATATATTTTCTTTTAGGATAACCTACAAATATATATATTTTATACGTAAACAGGCAAAGAAAAATAAAGTTCAGTAACTTTTTTCCTGTTTGTCAATCGATATTTTTTTGTTTATTAGCTATAGCGAACAATAAATGAACTAAATGAACACGGTCGAATTTCCACCACTGGGTGAACACTAGTATATTTTAAATAGACGAAAAGAAGTTTAATGCTATTTTAAAGTTGTACTTATTTTATATGTAAATTACATCCATACTAATATGATAAATGTGAAAGCGTGTTTGTTTGTTTGTTTGTTTATTTGTTTGTTTGTCTTCCTTTCACGTCGAAACGGCTTGGCGGATTGGCGTGATTTTTTGTGTGGAGATAGTTGAATGGCTGGAGAGTGACATAGGCTACTTTTTACCGCGGGAGATTATCTCTTTCCTACGGGAAAACACGTTATAATATACAATCCAAAAAATATTTATTATCAGAATTCCTTGAAACTTAGTATAAATGCTCTTCAATGCTATTAATTAAATACGTGTTTTAGCATTTTTCTAAATTCATCCCAAAAGGGGTTAAAATAGCGGATGAAAGTTAAGATGAAATCTCCCATTTTAGAGCTTTTTATGTAGTTTTAGCGCGAGCGAAGCCGCGGGTTCTGCTAGTAATAAATAAAAGGCTATCGCGTGCTATAAAACAAATAACTGGAATAGTTCCATGCTATATTTCCCTTATGACTTACAAGAGGACAATTCAACAAGTATTTGTTATATGTTATATCTATATAGTTGCTAGCAACTCACACTTTGCTCAATTCTATGTTGACTTCAATATAAATAAATAAATATGTTAGGGCATTAACACACAGCACCATCTAGTTCCATGGTAAGCTACGAGGCTCGTGTTTTGGATACACTACATATAAAACTTTAAATACATATTATAATATAAAAAACACTCATGACTGGAATATAAGCATTCGTATTCATCACACAAATGAATGCTCCCAGCGAGACTTGAACCCGAGACCGCTGGCACAGCAAGTACGGTCACAACAAATTCCCCCCCAACGTGCGTTCACCTTGTCGTGGTGGGGGGGCTCAGTAGTGCCCGGCAATCCAACCGGGCGCGAAGCTAAGAAACGCACAGGGAGGTGGCCCACTTCGGTGGGCGGTGGGAGGTGGCCCTCTTTGGGGGGCGGTGTACCATGCGGGTTGCTCCTGGTACTTCTCTGATAGCAGAGTGGACTGTGGAGCAACCCCATGGTTGTGGTGGTCTGCTTCGGCAGACCTGCCGTCGGGGCGTCGTAGTTGAATGCGCAAGCGATCCTGCGACGCCCCATTAAGACGGGGGAAGGTTTTGTTGGGTTTTAGTGGCTGTATTACGCCGGTGAGTCCCACACGTCGTGCGTAAATGCATTTCCCAACGTAAAAAAAAAAAAAAAACAAAAAAGGGTCTCAACAAATTGAGTCAAACGTGCCGTTGAATATCTATTCTATACAAATAAATAAAATTGAAGTGTCTATGTGTAATGTCAAAATAACGGCTTTTTTCTGAATGGAATTATATACCTACCTTATTTATAAGATAAACACAATTTTTAATTTTTTTGTCTGTCTGTCTGTTTGTTTCGGCTAATCTCCGTAACAGCTGCGCCGATTTTGACGGGACTTGCACTGGCAGGTAGTTGATGTTATAAGGAGTAACTTAGGCTACATTTATTTCAGTAAAAGAATTAGGGTTCCACTCAAAAAAATTAATATGTATTATGGTTTTCCTATATATTAAAAAATCTAACGATTTACCCTTGCTTCGCTTGGTTTCATCCCTAGGAGCCTAACAATAGCCCATGTTACTTCAGGTTATTTACATTATCTGTGTACAAAATTTCATTCAAATCGTTTCAGCTGTTTCAACATAACGAATATCTAATTTGTATATTAGATTTATAATAGAAGCATTAGCATTTATAATAGAAGTCCAATATATGTACTTAGAAAACTAACTTCTACAAGATGCATTCTACTATCGATACTTAAAATATACGGAAATCAAATATGATGACGCCTTTTTTATGGTGTTCAGTGACAAACGAGCAGACAGAACACCTGATGGAAAGCAGTACGTGTCGCCCATAACACCTACGGTAGATGCACTTAGGTTTTATGTTACAAAATACAGGACCGCAAGTGCGTTGTCACTGTGAGGATTAAGATGATATGCCTCTTGCTTATAATTGCGCTGGCTACCTTCTTCTTCAAACCGGAACACAACAATGCAATCATTATTGCTTGGCGGGAGAAATAGATAACGGGGTGGTAGCCATCCAGTCGGACTCCTCAGGCTTGACAGAGTCCTACCACCGGTACAATAAAGTATAACCGGTGCTTTAAAGTAATGCTTAGATAAGTATATCATAAAATTATTAGTATTCTAAAATTATATGTGTTTTTAGATGCGTAAGCCCAGCTCATACACATTATTTCTTTGCAAAATCGCTAGATTGCTACGGTAAACATCCTGAAACCAACAAATACCTAACGTTTCGTATGTTTTTTCGCATATAAATTTTCTTTCGTATATATTGTTTGAATCTTCATAGCGAATTGGCATCGAGACTGACCAGTGTTGAAGACTACGTACCTATTTGTATTGTACATACAAGTGTTTGACTTGGTCTAGTTATAACAAAACGCGGCGCTGGGAACCGCTCTGCACACATTTACCTAATAATATAAAGGAAAGCGGGGCACGATGTGATGTGTCATACTGTGTTATATTTATATATATAAAATCGATTAGTGTATGTATGTTCCCTATGGACTCTAAAACGGCTGGAGCGATTTTGATAAAATTTTCAGGCAATCTTTAGATTAGCCCAGCGAGTAATCCTGTAGCGATCAAAAAAATATGATCAGCGAAGCCGCAGGTAGTACCAATTTGAGATAATAAAAAGTTAAAGAATTTTAAACAAATTTAAGTATCAAATTATAGTACTACTTTTTAGTGTTTTTCATTTAAAAGCTATAGGTATAATGGTTTTTATCATTCCAAAGGTATTATGTTAAACATGTACAAATAAAAGAAATCACGAGTATATTTGACCGTTTACAGAGATAAAACAAAATGAACATTTTATTTCCTTTGGACCTATTTAACATCCCACTGCTGGGCTTGAGCCACCTTTCAATGTGAGAGGGATCATGTCATATTCCACGCTGGCAAAGTTCGGGTTGGCGGACTTGACATTTTCTTTGAAATCTTGCTATGTTCTCTCTGACATGCATGTTTCCTCATGATGTTTTCCTTCACCGAAATTCAAGTGATGTTAAGGAAATGATTCGTACGTATAAAGTGAACATACTTAAATGATTTCTTTGTAGGAGATAGAAGGGGGCCATTCTAGCACCAAACTAGAATGGACTGTGTAATAAAGAAGAGTGATATCAATCAAACCTACTTAATTATGTAAAAAATACATTAGCAACAGAATTCTGGCACAAATAGTTAATGTAAGTACATAATTTTTTACGATATCGTACGGGAATTTGTTTATCGCGATATAAAAAAGTTATGTCCCTCTAAGAACCGTAAACTGTAACATCTTTACTAATGCCTACATAAATAATTAAAGACACTTAGAACCTAGGACTTAAGACTTAGAAAAAAATCACTATTGCAGCATCTCTTCCATTTTTCAATTAATATAGGTACAATCTGTAAGTTACATATCTACTGATTCACCATAAAAAATCATTCATCTACTTTCGATTAGCGAAGATATTGTGTAACAAACATACACAAACATAATTGTGCCTGTATGTACCTTCTTCTTTAATAAATGTACCTTCTTCTTTTTTGATGTCAGTTTTTTGCTTTTCGTTTAATCTCAGTCGATGTATAATGAGATATCTAAACGATGCTTTCATCTTAAGTAGATGAAAAAATATAGAAGCCAAGGCAATGTTTCTGGTACGAACGGAAATCAAACCCACTTCACATTTCTGAGTTTGTATATGTGTCTATGTTTGTTTCTCCGTTATACTGAAACTGCTGGACAGATTTGTATGAAATTTATTACATAGATATGGATAGACCTGGAATAACATATAAGCTATAGTTAATAATGAAATTTGCTAAAAGATGGCGCTGCTTGTATACATATATGTATATCATTAATACAACAGGCACTGACATCGTGAAAGATCTGTTTTTTCTTTTGTTTCAACTACCAGTTAAATAAGAAAAAATCTTTTTCGGTTTATTAACCGATGTAATTAAAAATGTATCCTAGTACATACTACGACCGTATATAGTACCTAGATATAGATATATCGCTATGAGCCTTAGTAGAAGTAGGTATACAATACAACTATACATATGTATTATGTATAAATAAACTATATACTTAATTATATATAAAACATAAATTTTCTCTATTGTAAATAAATTATACACTTTTTAATAAACTATAACGCGCAAAAGTTACCAGTAAATATTTTTGAGTTGAAATAATCATACAGGTTGTGTTTAGAAGTAACTAACTGCCTCGGTGGTGTAGTGGCTAGCATGTACGGCTGCACACTCGGAGGTCCTGGGTTCGAGTCCCGGGTCGGGCCAAGTTAAGTTATCGAGACTTTCTGTATAGTAAAGTCTCAGTAACAGCCCGGAGTTGGGAAGTTGGCGGTGCTTCACCCCCGTGCCTCGGAGAGCACGTAAAGCCGTCGGTCCTGCGCCTTAACTCTCACTGGTCGTGTCGAGTGGTCGTCCCACCAGAGTATGAGAGTGATAGGAATAGAGAGTGCTCTTGTATCTGCGCGTACACTTGTGCACTATTATATCTCCTGCGCAGTTGGCTAGTCTCAATGAGATTGGCCGCCGTAGCCGGAATCGGCTAGGAGAACATCATATTTAGAAGTTTTTGATTATAAGGGGTGTGTCATGTGTTATTCAAGAACGGCTGTAGAGATTCTAATGAGACTTTGTCAGTGTACAGTTGACAATTTGAATTAATCCCTTGTTACGTTTTTAGTTTAATTTTACAAGTAAGGGTTATACTCGTATAAAATGTTTAAGTATAATAAAAGTGATCGCTGGCTGTACATGGATGATATTTAAGAAAAACTAGTATTGAGGGTCTTAATTAACGCAGTAGAACCCATAATAATGATTTTTAGAATTTTTATCTGTTTGTCTGTGCGTTTCTGCGCGCTAATCTCAGAAACAGCTTAACCGATTTGGGTGCGATTTTTACTAATGTATTGTGGTAAGCTTCACTTAATATTTAGTATTTGTTTTATTTCAATCGGTGTATAAATAAAGAAGTAATGTCAATTTAAAGAATCACTATAATCGCTAGTATAAAATATGTTTTATCTAATTTAATTAAGTAAAACTATGTAATTTCACGGTATTTCGATATCAATTATGAATTTTTCGTAGTTAAGTTGATAATTTACAAGTTATTGCTTGTAACGTTCAAACACTGGCTTATAGTCGTTTTTATCGATAGTTATACGTATATGCGATAAGGCGTTTTCCAAACATTTTCTACATAACTTGGATTTGAAGAAAAAAAATGAAATAAACATTAATATAATACAATATATTGTTACTTAAACATAAATTAATATTTATATTATTTACTAATACTCTTTCAATAAAAAATATTCCATTAATTTACATCAAAATCTAAATAAAAGTATAAATAACTCATAAAATTGGACTTATCAATAGAAAATCTTCAAAAGTCCATAACAATTTTTCTTCAATCTTAAAAAACTTAAAACAAACAGGCTGATATTTCAAATCTTTTTTTTAAAAGGCCTTAAAATTGTTGCAAAAGTTTGGAAAATACCCTAGAGCTCAGAGCTTTAGAGCTTTTTTGTAGAAATATGAAGTCTCCTTACAAAATTTCAAACTTACTTGTGTCCTTAGGCGCTACTCTACACACCATAACTATCACTTAGAACAACCAGCGCTCACGAGGGATCGGACCGAACTAACACAAACTGTATACGAAAGAAAGGCCTTTTAATATATGTGGTATTTTCTTTTATGTCTTCATGAAAAAAAACATATTTCAAGTTAATTTTCGTTGGAGATGGGATAAAATTAATAAACATTCTTCTTGCCTTACTGCTTTAAATGTAGAGTTTTAAAATATGTACTTACTAGCGGCTTATGTAACGCTGGGGTTCGCCCCTAGGTACGTTGTAAATAGATACAATTAGTTATTAGCCAGCGTTAGCTATATACATTTTTTTTGAGAATTTTTCTGATGTTTTAATAGTTAATCTGCTATTAGAGGCGGAGACAAATCCAACTAATCAAAACCCATGAAAATCGGTCCAGCAGTTCTTGAGTTATAAGTGTTGTAAGTAACAAACCCGATATTTTTATGTATGTAATTTAATTAATTTTTTTTAAATAATTTTTTTAAATTTTTTATGTACGTAAGTTATTTAAATTTTCATACGTATAAATGTTTATATTTTGCCGAATTGAAATGAGTAGTGGTCGAAATACGACCATAATCATTACATAAAAAGAACAGTGTTTCCATTTTTTTTATAATATATACAGATAAATAAAATTGAAGTGTCTTTTTGTAATGTAAAAATAACAGCTTTTTACTAAGTGCATATTAAAGTACATACGGTATTTATACTAGAAAAAATAATTTTATATTTTTTTGTCTGTCTGTCTATTTGTTCTGGCTAATCTCCGAAACAGCTGGACTGATTTTGACGGAAATTTCACTGGCAGATAGCTGATGCTATAAGAAGTAACTTAGGCTACTTTTATTTAAGAAAAAAGATTAGGAATTAGAAAATTATGATATTAACGAACGTAAGTTTTACTATTTTAGTTTTAAAATTTTACTGCGGTCAATATTTTTAAACTAAATCTCAATTGCGAATCTTGTTAGGTGAAAATATGAGCATTTCTATGAATAAGCTGTAACTTATTTATTTATTTAATTAGGATCACCAACATGATATACAGTATCTAAACAAAATACACAATTTTACAAAGGAGGTCTTAATCCAACTGTTATCATACTTATAGGTAACCACGACACGCTTAAACAATTACACGAAGCATATAAAAAAAATCCGCACTGTAAATTATAAACAAAAAGAATTAAAGACAATATTATACATAGTTAACTTACGTATACTCAGTAGCTACAGGCTGAGGACATGAAAGAAAGTGCTTCCGTAAAATTATTTACGTCTAGGTAATAAACACTAAATGTATATAACATACCAGAAGTAATCACTAATCAAGTATCAGATATTTAATTTTAATAATATATTTATTAGCTGACCGTAAAGGTCAAAATAAAAAATAAAGGTTACAAACAACGTCGATGATAGCGGGATCGATTCCTTCGCGAGACATAATATATTGTTTGTAATCACATTCTATACTACACAACTATACTAAACAAGTAATATTGTAATCACGTTCTGGAAAACGGCTGTAACGATTTCGATGAAATTTGCTATTTTGCGGTTTACGGGAGCGAAAGAAATAAAAATAGGAACTACTGACCTTCGGCGTAGTAGACCAACGCTTTAACCTAATGGTTGGTGGAATAAAAAGATCTGTCTGTCTGAAAACCCATTAGGGTATTAGATCTTTTTGGTATAGATCTTTTTGGGTGAAAATAAAGGGAAAACGACTTTTTTAATTATAGATAGGCTTGCGCTTGGCGATACTCAACGGTGGGAAGCACTGATAAGGTCTACGTTGGAGAGCGCTTACCTAGAAGATGCCTATTCACTCTTGCTTTGAAAGTACTCAAATTATAGGTGGTTTGGTTGTAATCAATATATTTGGTCATTATTATTATCATTTTTATTTGTTGCATTGACCTGCATTTTTGGTCTAGAGCTAGACAATATACTCGTAGCTGTAGGTCAAAACGTCACGGGTCAATAGGGACAAGTTATAGAATTTCAGGATGGTTGCCTCAAAAATCCTCAAAAATCGTTTTCTTTCCAGTTTTGTAGGATATGGTGCATATAGTGTACTTTAGACGATAAGAGGATGTAAAGAGTACTTCTATTTTTAAGGGCTAATGAGATTGGATCTGGAAAATCGTTTTAAATCACATAGTTTAATTTTATTAAATAAGGCAGTTGATGATATTTAAGTATGTTTTATAAACAATTTGAGGTAAAACGTGAAAAATGAATACGTTATAACAAAATATTATTAGGCCTTTGGCGAGATCAAAACACTTGAAAACACAGAGGCTTTAAGATAAAGCCTTCAATTATAATTATTTCACCCCTTTTATAGCCATCATCTGTTAATTTTATTTGACACGACCTAATACTTTTTATCTTGTATTCCGGATACTTTATCCAAATGTAAAACTTGACGAATTATAGTGTAAGTATTCTAATCGCTTGGGAAACCGAGTGAAGCGGGTTCAAATGTTTTATAGAAATCGATTCAGTGTTTTTTACTTCACTAAACTGGCATACTATTGTGGGTCTATACTCTATATAAATATTGTCATTTTATGCTTTATGTAACAAGTAATAGAGTACACAATAGCATATTTTACTTGCAGCTAAATTCGCTTCAACGTTGTATTGCATGGAATAAAGTTACATTTCTAAAACAACTTAAATGTTCTAAATCAGTCTTTCTATTTTTACTTTTGTGCCAGGCTTTGTATAATACTGGTTTGTCCGCCGTTTTTTACTACTGTCTGGCATCGTTGCCATTGCCATATTGGCACTACGGATAAGACAGTCACAAGTTCGAATTCTAAATGAAGCAAATATGTATTGTCCATACATATTTATCTATCTATTATGAAACAAAAAGACATACAGTATGCCTTATATGATTTTTTTAATTAAATTAATACCTACTTTTTCCATGACTTTAAATTGTAATGTTATACCTATGAGTTTTTTTTAATTTAAGAAAAGTCAATTAAATTAATAAAATATAGGTTATAAGATACTTAAATTTAAAAAAATATATTTTTATTTTCAACCATATTATCATTTGGCTCGTTGGTCTAGGGGTATGATTTTCGCTTAGGGTGCGAGAGGTCCCGGGTTCAAATCCCGGACGAGCCCAATTTTTTTTTTAATATTTAATTATATCATTGAAATCTATTTTAAAATTTTATTTTATTTATAATTTTTCAGAATAATCTATTTTTATTATATGAAACATCACGTCAAAGAAAACGTCATATGAAAAAACAAACTCTTTCTAATTTATTATAAGCTTGTTTCTAGTAAACGAAAAATCGAATACTTCGTATTTATTTATTTTTTTAATATTTTAATTTCAAAAATCTCATAATTAAAAAAAAAACAAACTATGCCACGAATGCCTCAGGATAGAAACGTATCTAAAAACAGTCTAGGAGTCAAACACCTTTGATGCACTAGCCTAGCTATTCTTAGGCCACTAATGTGCTTGGACTCGCTGCGATAAATCAGCAAGTGCTAAAAATAAACTTTTAAAAGCTATTGAATACTTTTTTAATACTCTATTTGTTTCTAAGCTAAGCTTAAACAAGATGTCATTCTACAATCGTTGAAGAATAGAGTCTAAACAAAATGGGATTGTCATGTTATGGGCTTGTGACGTTTCGATTAATTTTGTCTTTTAAATACAATGAAATATTTGATATTTTATTTAAAACTACCCTCACCCTCGTTTCACTCAGGTTTGTACATAGATATGTTTTAATTTCTTTTTGCAAATTGTTTTTTTTTCGAGAATTTTTCCGATCTTTTATTAATTATTCTGCTATTCGGGGTGAAGACGAATCTAACAAAACAAAGATCATAAAAATTGGTCCAGCCGTTCTCGAGTTATAAGTATTGTAACAAACCCGACTTTGTTTTACATATTTATAGATAAAAGTATTTTTTCATTTATTTAGATTTTTTGGTCGCCGCGTCTAAAACGACTTACAACAATGCTCGCAGAGACTTAAGGTTTTTAATGGTTTAACTTTAAAGTCATACTCACTACAGACGGGGACTAATTTTATTATTAATTAGTTTCAAAGAAAAAACCTTTTTCTATTATTTTTTTTCATTAATTTTATATAGTATGTAATAAAAACGTACCCTCTGTATGATGTTTCTGTACTTTGTAACATAGAATCTCCTCTCATCTAATACATCTATTTTTATAAGTCATCCCAAGAAAATTACAATATATGGCTTATCAAACAAAACGTCACGAAGAAGTAACAAGCGAACGAATTAATAAATTGTTATTGATTACTACATCTGGGAATCGAATCTCTTATCCCTGCCTCAAACTAAGCCATAAATATAGGAGATTCCTACTATATTTAATCATTTTAAGGGTTCCGTATCCGAAAGGTACCAACGGAACCCTATTACTAAGTCCGTCCGTCCGTCTGTCAGAGGACTGCATCTCACGAACCGTAATAGAATTGTCACAGAGTATGTATTTCTATTGTCGGTATAACAGCAAATAAAAAAAAAACATTTTTTTAACGTTCGTAATCGATCATCGAAGTTAATATTCTACATACATAGAGTAAAAGTTATATTAATAAAAAGTACATGTACGATGGTAAGGAACGCTTCGTGTGCGAAGTCGACTTGCATTTGACCGATTTTTTCATTACGTAGTTACGTATTTCCATTACAATTATTATATAAACCTTCATATATATGTTTAAATGTGTCATTTTATTAGATAAATCATGTTTTATTTATTAATTCTTTAAATTTTTGTGTGCAACAACAATATTGTTTTCCTTGAAGCTATATTATAAATGGGAAAGTATGTATATATGTCTGTATGTCTTTTATATGCATTTACTATTATATTTATATGCATTTATACGGCTGAATCGAATTTGATGAAATTTTGTATGAAGATATCCTGATGCGTTTTTTGGGAGATACATTTACGCATATCAATCAC